CACATTCTTTCCTTCCCCCCCTCCCCCTGTGTCACCTGTAAACCCTAGCCATCATCTTTATCATCATCATCCTTTTTTGTCTGTGTACCATTTTATATATATATGTATATTTTATATGTTTTTGTATGTGTGTGTCACATAGGGCACACAGTCTATTCCTCCATTCTGTTCTGTCATGTGCAATCCTTTAAATATTAGCTATGATATCTAGTCCAAACCCAAGTTCTGGAACATGACTAAAGTCCAGAAGTGGACGAACAACCAGAACTTTTCACTGGAGTTATAGTCAGTGAATGCTAAGAAGAGGAAGACTGAACCGATTAAAACCTGACTAAAAGTGTGCCTGCTTTTTTCCCTGCACATTGAAAACATCCAGACTCTGTGCTAACTCCCCTCTGAAACAGTGTCTCGAGGTATGGGTACTCTGTTCCATCACAAGAGACAGCATACTACACGTGAGAAGATAACAAGAGATGGACAAACAGCAGTGAGAGAGTACACATCCTTCTTGACCTACGACCTTTGCGACCATCTGCACTAACGAATACACACACAAAAATGATTTAAAAAAATATTAAAAAAAAAACTATTAACCCCCCCCCCCCCCCCCCCCTTCCCCAAAATTTCTAGGGTCAAAAAAAGTGTCTGGATGCCTGATGCAACTGATACCTAGAACACAGCAGGATATGATTATGCATACATAGACCAATTTTGTGTGATTTTTATATTTTTATAATGTGCTTGAATGAAAAATATAAATCGGACTTAAAACTAGTTTGACCTACAACCTGTTAGTCAGGACGGAACTCGGTGGTAAGTCGAGGAGACCCTGTTTACAACCAGAAAGAGAGGCACAGAGGGTTGGAGATCCTTTACATGCAGCCTTCATTGTGGAGACAACACCTGATTGGATTGACTGATTGATGCTGGACTGTGAAAGTAATTGAAAGAACCTGAGTGGTAATTAGAAAGGCTTTCTGAGGTATAGTCTTGGAAATCTATTGTGGCTACGTATTGCTAACTGCAGGTGTACAAGTGCACTTTAAGTTGTGGAGTAGGTAGACCACTGGGAAATGTGCCAGGATGTGCTAGGTTCCTCCCTTTCTACGCTGACAATAGCATTTGTGATATATAAGATAAGAAGCAAAGAGTTCTTTTTATATCATTGGAGCCACAGGCACAGGATGCTACTCATACTTTTATAGATTAGTCAGCACTCACGAGGTGGTAATGTGGTCGAAATTATGCCAGCCGCCTTTAGTTCCAAGGACATTACCTTGTACCCTTTTCCGGCTGGGTTGACAGGGAAGCCAAAGTCAGTGTTTACAAATACAGTTCTGACTAGATTTGGATTTAAACCCAAGACTTGCGGGGGGGGGGGGGGGGGGGGGGGGGTGGCTATAGCCTATAGCCACAACAATACAGTGGCAGATGCATGTATGATAGAAAGCAGTATATGAAGGCTATAGTGTTGGTGATGAGTGTCACTGGATGTAGCTGGTGGAAGGAAGTTATACAGCCAGACAGTGCAGATTAAAAATTACTAGAGCAGGTTGACAAATTTTGGATGTTTTCTTCATGGTCAGAGAGCATTTGCCTGAAAGGCAAGGAACCAACAGTCTGCTTACAAATAAGCCAGATTTTAGAACTCTAGTTAGTTCTAACCTTGTTATCAAGGTTCTGCTCTGTACTTTAACATTTTTTTTTTAAAATGGCTGTTGCGATCAGCGGTCTTAGTTTAAAATAATATATATATGTATTACTATCCTGTTTTAAAAAGAAATATATGCATGCCGAGAATAGGGTTCTTGAAAATATACATTTTCAAGTAAGCCCTCTTTAGATGCACTCTCTTGTTTTTTTGCATTGAGATTTTTTTTTTAAAGTCTGCATGTAGAGTAGATGTATTACTTTAACTAGTATTCACAATCTTGTTAACCTTTTCCAAAGAATCCTATCAAATAGTTGTTGTGATGGCAGCATCTTTGTGTAACAACTGGTCACTGTGTTAGGTCTTGTGCACATGGTCTTCAAAACTGTAAAGCCACGGGGATCAAAGCAATTGATTTTACTGCCACTGCTTGCTTGTCTTGGCAAACAAGATTTGTAGCCAGACAGACTGAGATCAGTGGGGACAGATAAGAAAGAACATATCGTTGACAGTAAAATGAATGCTCAGATTGCTAGTATTGACCATCTGTGTGTATGTCAGTGCGCATGTGAGTCATGGTGATTGGATGTGGTGAACTGGGGAAAGTAAAATGACCAGCAGTGGATGGGAGATTCTGCAGGAGTAAGACGCAGGCCGAACGGTGAAAAACACAGGGCTGTCAAGCGGGATATCTGTTTAAATCCTCAAATAATTTTTTTTTCTAAAGTCATAGGCAAAAATAAATTTCTAACCTACACAGTTCACAGCTAGTGGCGACAGCATGTGGCCCTAACTTCTCAGAGACCCCCCCCCCCCCCTCTCCAATCCCACCGCTGCTATACTGCAGAAGTGGTAAATACGTGCAGTAACGACAGTTTTGTTTAAAATAATATCTGTATGCAGAATGTCGTCATATAATTTGTGGGGCATGATCTCTTCACCAGTGTAAATACAAGCAAATGCCAAAACAACTGTCATGTGTCACTGCGAACTGGGTTGCCTGCCACCATCTTTATTAGAACTATCCCAGGTCCTTGAGTCAGCTCTCTGAGCTCATTCTTGGGAAATAAAGAACGAACCAACTGTCCCTTAACAAGGCAGCTAATTAAGAATTTGCTCAGTTGGGATATGTTATGCTAAAAGACAGAGATATAGCAGCTTAACTGTAAACCACAGCACAGCATGCCAAATGATTTTTTTTTAAGCTTTTCACCCTGAGAACAGTAAAAAACAACAACACACACATAGGTCAAGGCTGCGTTAGAATTTCAGGGAAAAATATGTTTAAAAAAAAAAATAACAGTTAAACTAAGGTCAGTAATAAATTAGCTACAAATGTATTTTATCTAAATTTTTAAATTTTGTTTCTCAACATATAAAGATATATGGGAGGAGTAATAATTAAACACGGACATGGTGAAGCATTAGATAAAGTACATCCAAAGGAACCCGATAAACACATGTATTGGAGGACTCAAGCTGTGACCCCATGACCTCTATCACTGAGGGCTTAGGGGAAACTCAAAAGTCAGCTTGGCTTTTCAGAAGCCATTTAGCTGAAAGGATCCACCATTCCCCCAGTAAAGGTGGATGTTAATGTATTCAAATCCCAACCACTTCTATGTTTGTGCAGCCACAAAAACAGGCAGTAGTATTAACGATGTATCTCGTAAACAGATCCCTGTAGACTAGTTGGAAAAGTCATATTTATGAGGAATTAGACCCAAACAGAATTATCGATTTTTCAGATTCTCAGGGCAAAAGTGTTAAGGGTGAATGCAGAAGAAGAGCCCAGGGAAGGACGAAAAAAGAGAGGAAATCAACAGTGCATTGGCCATTATGTTCAGTAATGAAAAGCAGTGATCCCAGCAGAAACTGAAATGTTGGCAAGAGACCTACACAGGCGAATGGAAGACTGCAGAGTAAGGGCTGGGGTACTCCAGTGATGTTCCAGGTTATTGACAGTTGTAACAATCAGATATAGAGCTTTTACTTTTTCTTAGTGCTCACTGGCTCTAAACTCCATTGGAAAGTTCTGGTTGTTTTCCCACAACTTGTTCCAGAAGTTTCGGTGCATACTTATTTGTTTGCAGATGTGCTTATTTGTATGCATACTGTTAGTTGCGCGGCTACCTGGCAGATGTGATCTAATTTTGGGTAAAAATCCCTAATCAGTAGCCTTTTACGACATGCTTGATGGAGGGGCATGGGTCTGTCTCCCCCACCCCCAGTGGGGCACTGGACCCAAATGGGGAAGATGACAGATCAGGTCATAGCATTAAAATTTTGCCAGTAGTCTGATTTCATCTTCACTGGAGACAGGTCACTTCCAAATTTGCTCTGATCCTAAACCATTAACAAGCACACAAAAATAGCTCTCGTCCCATTGAAAAATTGTTGAACAAGCAATTAATCCTCAGAAATGTGCACACACGGTTTGAAGAAACAACCAGCTATTACCCGGTGCAATGAAGTCAGTCCTTTCAATTGTAAATGTAAACACTGAAAATAATAGCATTCATTTTTTTTCTCTAGTTTATTATATAACAGATGACTTCAGTATGTCACCTGGATATATGATACCTTTGTTACTTTTATCTTTCAGGGGATGCTAGGTTTTTCAGTTCTCACATTCTCATTTGACTGTAATTTTTAAACAAGAAACCTATCGGAACATTTCTTGTTGAAAATCATAATGTGAATTCTGTTTGCTCGTAATTTTATGACAAATGATTTATGTGTGCGATTTAGCCGTACACTTCTTGCTTTATCTTTCAGGAGATGCTAGTTTTTTCAGTATGTTCACATTTTCTTGTAATTTTAATGTTTGAAGAAATAATTTGTCATCAAAGCGTTTCAGATTAAACATTATAATGTGAAATCTGTTTCCTCCTGATTTTATAGTTGTATTTTAAACAAGCGTTCTAGACCTACTTTAAAAATTGAACTCAGAAGAAGCTAGATTTATCAGTATTTACTTATTCACATGTAATTGAAATTTGTGAATAAATAATTTGTAAATAAATAACTTGTCGTAAAAGATTATGATATTTATTCTGTTTTATGGGATCTCCCCCCCACCCCCCCCCCCCCCCCACCATTTGTGTAGATTATGAAACATTATTACAGTGTGTGACCTAGGAGTCTGATACCTTTGTTAATTTAGCTGTGAGAAGTTTTTTTCAAAAGGTTTCATTATTGTCTTGTTCATTCTCAGTTTATTGTAGTTTTTATATATCTGCCAGAGTTTTCATGCGCTTCATAGTTTTGTGTGCAGGGTTTTGTTGGTGTCATGTGGTTGTTGTTGTTTTAACACCAGAATTGAACATCTTTGCTGTTGTTTCTACAGGAATTGGCCACAGTAACAAAAGAGTTGAACCAGGTGAGAGAACAGCTGTTGGAAAGGGAGGAGGAGGTTTCAGAGCTCAAGGCTGAGAGGAATAATACCAGGGTAGGTTTCGTTGTTGCTGGTTAGTTGAGCATCATCATCATCATCATTAGTGCCCTGTTCTGCCATTGTAGGTTACACAGGGCTTCATGGAGTGAAAACATGGAGAACAACCAAGGCAATTTCTAAAAAACTAGAAACATCCATTAACTGGTGCCTGCCCAGAATAGAGGGAATTTAATGCTGTGATAGAATCACTAATGCTGAGTTTTGGGAGAAACTGAACGAGTTCCAGTGGACCAAGAGGTAAAAAAAAAGAGGCTGGCGTTGGATGGGACACACACTGAGAAAACCTAGAACAGTATAACTAGCATGTTTCTGCACTGGAACCCACAGGAGTATAGAAATAAATGCAGACCAAAAAACACATGGAGAAGGGAGCTAGAGAGTGGTGTTAAAAAGATGGGGAGTATATGTGGTGAGCTGCATGTAAAAGCAAAGAATTGAATGACTTGGCGTGAGTTGTTTGAGGGCCTATGCACCCTTAGGGAATAGAAGAAGAGGAAGGGGGGGGGGGGGGCTTACAGTCTGTTCCTCCATTTCATTCTGTCCTGTGCAGTGCCTTCAATATCATGGATGGAATCCAGTCCAGCACCTTTGGCTTCTCTCAACAGTGTTTGTTTTTGCATGCTTCATGAAGAGTGGCAAGCATCACTTCAGAGGTCCCGGGTAGTTAGCATCATTTGGATATTTTCTCCAGGTCATGCCGATGTGTTGGGAAATGAGCAGGCAGATAGACTGGCTGGCTCTGCACTACTTGGGTGAATTGTATGACAATTTAGATATTGTGAGGGCCCTTTGGGAGCTAGTGTACAGTGAGGAGGCGCAGATAGATCATTATGGGCTGAGGAGAATGGCGCTGCGAGGAGTTACCAGGGGATCTGACCGATGCTCAATACTCAGGGGAAGGATGAGATGGATATACAATCAGACTGTTACTGGTACCATCAGAATTGGAACCGTTCACTTGCTGTTGAAGATAGGGACTTAGCACTTATGGGAGTGTCCAGAGTGCTGTTATGTCGTTTCCTTGTTTAACATTTGTTTGTTTTAGGGTTTCGCTTGAACATCTTCGCTTCATCAATCCCTTTATTTCCCATTTTAGTGACTGTTTGGTGATTGTCTGCTTGTTTCTTCTCAGGATTTGTCTAATATAGAACTGCCACTCATTTTTTTTATACAACTGTTCTTCCGTGCCATAATGTCCCTGTCCTGCTGTCCATCATTTGCTCTCTTGGTCTCCAGTTACCTGTGTTTCCTCCTTAGATATGTAGGTGCCATTTGAGCACATTCCAGCATTTGTAATCTTCTCCTTGTTCACCGGCTGTAAACTCCGGCACAAGATTCTGGTTGTTCTTTCACTTTTAGGCTTTACACTTGTTGCAGAATGTAAGTTTTGCGTGCACTTACAGACATCAGTAATTTTTAAGCAGACTTATTGGTTTCTTCTCAGGCAGATGCACTGCAAATTCCAAGAAAACACCCCTAATTAGTCTCCTTTTATGACATGCTTGTGGGGGGTGGGAACTGGGTCTATTCTTTGTTCCCTAACACAGGATCCGAACATGCATTAGTAATTAATATTCAATTGTTGTATGTGATGTTTATGTCAAAGGATACGTGAATGAAATGATACAGGAAAGGAGTGAGGTCAGAAGAGCAGAACATTAGATAAGCCTGCATTCCTAATTCTTAACACTTTGAAAATAACCGATGTTCGTTCATTCATTCATTTGTTCATTCTTACTTTTCTCTTGTCATGACACACTCCAGTTTTCCCCTTTTCATTGTGCGGCCAAAGAATGTGGATTCTTCTTTTTGGATGCTGGTAACCTGTTTTCGTTATGCATGAATTTCCTTTGAGATAAATTCATGTTACTTTCTACCTGTCCATGGTTTTCTCATCATTCTTCTATATGATTACACCTGTGCATCTTCCATACAGTTTCTCACTAATCTGCGTACTGTCCTTGATTCACTTCTATTCATTGGCTTTGAATTTGTCATCAGTTAGTTAATCAGTTATTCATACTGCCTCCCCAAAAGCATGTTGTAAGAGTCAACTAATTGGGGAGCTTCCTTTGAAGACGGAGTGCGTCTGCCGGAGAGGCAAGGAACCAACAGTCTGTATTCATGAGAATGAGATCTGTAAAACTGATGCACACGCAACACTCAGGTTCTGGAGCAGGACTGCAGTTCAGTAGTAGACGAGCAACCAGAACCTTCCGCCAGAGTTTACAGCTGGTGAACGCGAAGAAGAAGAAGAAGAAGAAGTTATTCATAGTTCCAGTTTCATGGTAAAAAGGCAACGCCACAGTTTCTCCATTCCTGTGCCAGTAAAAACTCTGCAGAGTGCCCATCAATACCCCCACTGAAAACAGTTGGCAAAGCTAGTAGCATACATGTATCTATATAACCCCCATAGAGCCATGTCACTTCAGTTGACCTGATACAACAGAGGGCCTGGCTGGCTCTCTACACCCAGAGGAATTTCAAGATGGGCATATAACTAGATTGAAACCGGTACCATAAGTATTGGAACTCTGCGCTGGCTGCTGAAGATGAGGGCAGAGCCTGCATGGGAATGCCCCGAATACTGTGATGTCAATTCTTGACTCAACTCAACTCAACCTGATACAACAGTATTTTTTTCTTGTTCTTCTTAGTGTTTGCCAGCTGGAAAATCTGGTTGAAAGTTCCAGTTGTTTGTCCAAATCTGAACTTTGCACTTGTTTCAGAACAGGAGTTTTGTGTGCCCATCTGGTTAACAGAGCTGGCTTATTTATCTGCAGACTGTTGGTTCTTTGCCTCTCATGCAGAGTTTACTCTGACATCAAAGGAAACTCACTTAATTAGTTGCATTTTACAACATGCTTGTTAGGGAGCAGTGGATCTGTTCTTTTCTTCTTCTTCTTCTTTACGTCCTCTGTTACTGCTTCGGGCGTCAAGGGAGATATAAGGTTCTGCCTCGTGCTTTTCTGGCTGCTTCTACCAAAGACACATTGTGGTGCTGTAGAGTTTCTCTGATGCTATCCTTCTATGTGGTTCTTGGTCTACCTCTTGCTCTACATCCCTCTCCTCTTTTGCATATGCCTTGTATGGTATAACATCAGAAGGCATTCTCTCCAAGTGGGCAAAGCATTTGATTTGCTGTCTTTCTGTGTACTTTAGAATTGGTTCTGTGCCGACTTTATCTCGTATGCTTCCTGATTTTTATCTCTTCTGGTCACTCCTACAGCCTATTTTAGACACCTCATTTCCATGGTTACTAATTTCTTTCATGTTTTGTTGTGAGTGATAATGTCTGGCACTAGTAGCATAGGGTGGGAATTAATATGCTTTGTGTGAGAAGTCTCTTGGTGCTGTTTTGGATTGCCTTATGCTGTAAGAGAGGGGCTAGCTGTCCCAATGTCTATTCTTTTCCTCCCAAAAATTTGGTCCTGGAATCCACACTAGAACAGTGTATTTCATATTTTTTTTTATTTCACTATGGGTTAATTTGTTATCTCTGTATGTCTCTCATCAGTTACTGCTGGAACATCTTGAGTGTTTGGTATCTCGGCATGAGCGGTCGTTGAGAATGACTGTGGTCAAGCGGCAAGCCTCTTCTCCCGCTGGTGTGTCCAGTGAAGTTGAGGTCTTGAAGGCCCTGAAGTCCCTGTTTGAGCACCACAAGGCCCTGGATGAGAAGGTGATCACTTGTTTGTTAAACATTGTAAATGTTTGGACATTACAAAGTCCTGAATCAGAAAGTGATAAACAGGTGTTTGTAGAGTGAGTGTATTATAAATAGTTGAGCCTAGCAGTATAAAACAACGTTTAACAAAAGCAAACGTAATAAAAGCTTTTAAAAAAACTTCACTCTCCGTGTTTACTTTTCTCAGGGCAGTGGAGGTAAGGATTTGTGTGTGTGTGTGTGTAGCTTCCAACAGAAACAAGACTCAGTTTTTGTAAAGCATATGATAAATATTTGAATATCAAACAGGTTTAAATGGGAAGTAATAAATTGTCATAAGTGTTTTAGAATGATAAATTGTATGTAAAGCGTATTTATAAAGTGTGAGCATCACGGAGTCAGCGATGATTCATTGACACAGTGTTTGTCAAACATTCTAGAAATGTTCAGCATTTGAAGGTGAGATGCTGATGTCAAAGGCTGTCTTTCAGAGGTCTTTGCAGCTGTCATAAAACCCACCTTTAGAGCTTTGGAGTGTTGTGAGGAAACAAATTCAACTTTGTGAAAGAGCTTTCATTTAACTATTTTTATGAATATAAATAAATAAAATAAATAAATGTAAGTAAATATTTGTACCAACTTTATGCTATCAGTACCAGACATAGACAGTTAAGGACAAACATAAACCCAAAATTACATGTGAGATGAGATGTATAAGAAATGCTGAAGGAAAAACAAGAGGAGACGAATGAAAACAAAGAATAGGAAAAATGGTAGGGACAGCACCACTAAATGATTCCATAGAACATCAAAGAATCAAATGGTTTGGTCAAATGGATTTGGTCATCTGATAAGAATGGAACAAAATCAGCCAGCAGCTAGAGCATATTACTTAAGAACAGCAAGAGGCAGGCAAGAAAGAAATGGGTGGAGGGAGTAAAAGAGACAGTACACTTGCAACTAGTTAAAAAAAAAAAAAAGGAAACTACATCTAACTCCTGCGATGCTTTAAAGCAGTAGGAAGAAGATGAATATTCATCTTTTTGTCATATGCTTGTTAGAGGAGCTAAAGTAAATATATGAGCCAACATGGGGGGGGGGGGGGGGGTGCAGCATGCAAAAGCATTTGCTAGCAGGTTTCCAAGGCCACATTTTATTGGGGGGGGGGGGGGGGGGGGGGGGGGAAATAAGAGATCATGTGTTCTTTATGAGACATGCTGTAAAAGGTGACTAATTAGGAGGTTTCTGAAATTGATATGTTGGACTCAAAGGTGTAGATATCACAGTCTAGCTGTAAACCACAATGCTAACAGACCTTTTAATGATACTTTCAAGCACAAATTTTAGTAAATATTAGTTACAACTTTGTTTAGTTTATTAGTAGAGAAAGGCTGTTCTATACAGAAATATTTTTTAAATTGAAATGCAATATTTCTGTAAACTTATTCTTAAAGTGTATTACTGTGAAGTGCTGGTTATCAAGTGTGTCTTGTTGCTGTGTAGGGTCCCTGATGTTAAGACACACACTTATTCTAAAGGTAAACTAAAGTCAAATGTACTTTAAAGCAAATGCCTAAGGAAATTGATGAAATTAACTCTTTCAATCCCAGGGGGTTTACCATCAGAAGCCCAAGGGGCGGTTAAGAGAGTTGTAAAATCAGCACATCTTGCGTTCATTGGGCTTCTAGGTAGAAATCTCAACTTCCAGCTTCCCTGGGCAACAGCTTGGACAGGTCAGCTAAACCAGGTGAGGGTAGTTGAATAGCCTTCGGTGAGTTAGGATCTGCCTATCCTAGCAAGCAAAAACTGGACTCGACTGAATGTGCGGAGGAAGCTAATACTTGGTTCAGCGGGCCTGATGGCGGGTACCAGCAACGCACTGTGGAGCCCAAAGAGCACGATGCGGCACTTAGAACACCCTGGTCATCCACTGCATGTCTCGACTTGTCCTGCCACTGGATTTAGATGGTTACAGGAGAAAGAGTGAGATCGACGGAATTGCGCAACTTTTCCTCACTTTAATCCAGTTCATCGCGCTATTCACTTTTCCATGCATCTCTAATAACAACAGGTAGAAATCTATGAACGTATGATGCATTCCCTTGGGAATGAAAGAGCTAAATGGGGTGAATTCAAGAAGGGCAGAGAAATAACAGAAATGACCGGACAACCTCTGGTATCAGCGGCTAAAAGGTAAAGAAGTTTGGCTGTATATTGGGCACATTCTGAAAAGGGAACAGAGAATCACAAACAGGCAATGAAATGGGTAACAGACTGAGGTTGTGGGTACATCCAAGAGAAACCCTTATATGAATGTTGATGAGAGAGGCTAATGGTGGTTTGCTGGATTCCATCCATGATATTTAAATAGTTGCATATGATAGAGCCCAATGGAAGAATAGGCTGTGCGCCTTATATGATGCTGTTGATTCTCCAGATGATTGTGCTTGTCTGTCCTCAGAAGCTTCATATTATAAGTAAGACATCTTTCTTTTCAGGTTCGAGAACGACTGCGCGTTGCCTTAGAACGGGTTGCTCAGTTGGAGGAGGAGCTTACAAGTGCCAATCAAGAAGTGAGCTGCACATTCATCATTATCATTATCATCATCATCATCAAGTATTTTAGATCTTGGGCTAGCCATGAAACTTCCTGATCATTCCATTTCATTGTTATCTGTCTTGCACGACTCCTTTGAACTCCATGTCTCTGTACTAAAAGATCTGTGCATGCTTGTTTTAAACCTGGTTTCCTTGTTAAGTCCCTTTCCGTTTTCCCCCACAGTGTGCCCCGCAGCACTCTCTTTGGTGTTTCATTGTGTCTTATGGGTTGACAAAGTCATTGATAGTCTTCACCTTTTGATAACTCAATAACTTATTTGTCAGTTTTTCATTGCAGCTGGTTCTTGTTTTATTTTGTTGCTGTTGTCAGTAGCACATCTGGAATGTGTCTCTGTGTTGCAGTAAGTAAAGTAAAGTAAAAGTAAGGGACCCTTCCCACGCCTTCATGCGTATTTTGCATATAGTACAAGACCTATATTTTGAAGACCAATCGGCATCATGCCGCCTGCCTTTGCTTCCCGGGATTGTACCTGATAACCCACTCTAGGTTAGGCCAACCTGGGAGCCAAAGATATTTTTGAAAAAAAAAAAGTCCGGCTCCACAGGACCCGAACCGAAGACCTTCCAATCCGCACTGTGTTGCAGTAATTAATCAGATAAGGAAACAAACTTTATTCCTGTGTATTCATGAAATTGAGCAACATCTAGCCTGACTGACTGACTATTCGTCTTTCCTCTCTGGGCTTCTACGTCAAAAGTTGTTGCACCACATCGAAATAGAGGTCAGTCAGTCAAGTAGAAACAAAGCCATATTTAAACCCCCCAAAGAAATATATTTTTGTAGGTGAATGGCTTTACAAGCATGTTATAAAAGGCAACTATTAAAAGTGTGCTGAAATCAAGTGTGTTGGGCCAAAAGTCGCAGATACACAGCCTAACTGTAAACCAGCCCTTTTAAGGGTGGAGAGTAGAAGAATAAAGAATGCTGTATATTTTCTAGCAGAATCTTGGAATGTGAGCAGACAAATCAAGAACAGTTTGGAGGCTGCTGAGATGTGGTTCTTGAGAAGAATATTGCAGATACCTTGGACTACCAGAATAACTAAGTGGTTGCCTGGAAATGATTTTTAAAAAAAGTAGAACATTATATACAACAATGAGACGGAGACAAAGTTCTTTGGTCATGGGATGAGAAAAGGAGCACTGGAAAATGTTGTGATGACTGGAAAGATCACTGGTAGAAGAGGCAGAGGCAGACCAAGAGAAATGATGGTGGTTGGCTTAAGACAGTGGCATGGAGGAATATCATCACTGGAATTGATTCAGAACACCAAAGACCAGATCTGTGGAAATGCATGAACGCTAACTGGAAAGGCGCTTGATGATGATGACGATGATATTTCCTTTTTAACAAGTCAGTGGTTTTGTTATTACAGTTATTCACATTCCGAGAACAAGCGACCAAGTCTCGACATTCAAGTGGCAGCGTGGAGGATATCAAGTCAAACCGCACTGACTCCACCGGTCAGGGAGATGTCGACTCCCGTGAGTCTTCCACAGCAACCAGCACAAGCCTGCCCAAGGTTAGTACCAGACAAGAGAATTTTGTAAAGTTGAGATATAGTCACAGCTGTGTATGATACTGATTGTAATGTTGACTATGGATATAGTCACAGATGTGTATGATACTGATCGTAATGTTTGGATATAGTCACAGCTGTGTATGATACTGATTGTTATGTTTGGATTTAGTCACAGCTGTGTATGATACCGATTGTAATGTTTGGATATAGTCACAGCTGTGTATTATACTGATTGTAATGTTTGGATATAGTCACAGCTGTGTATGATACTGATTGTAATGTTTGGATATAGTCACAGCTGTGTATGATACTGATTGTAATGTTGAGTTTGGATATTGTCACAGCTGTGTATGATATTGATTGTAATGTTGAGTTTGGATATTGTCACAGCTGTGTATGATATTGATTGTAATGTTGAGTTTGAATATAGTCATAGCTGTGTATGATACTGATTGTAATGTTGAGTTTGGATATAGTCACAGCTGTGTATGATATTGATTGTAATGTTGAGTTTGGATATAATCACAGCTGTGTATGATACTGATTGTAATGTTGAGTTTGGATATAGTCACAGCTGTGTATAATATTGATTGTAATGTTGAGTTTGGATATAGTCACAGCTGTGTTTGATATTGATTGTAATGTTGAGTTTGGATATAGTCACACCTGTGTTGATATTGATTGTAATGTTGAGCTGGGATATACCATATTATTTAGTTTAAAATTGGGGGATGTTTTACACATGGAATTTGGTTAAAACTCTCTTTTTTCAATTTTTGGCACAAAACATAGGAGTTGTCTTGTACATGGAGGTGTTATATTCATGGAAAAATACAGTATAACATCTCTGTAGGATTGTTGTTGAGTTGGGATATAATCACAGCTGTGCATGTCATGTTGTTGAGTTGGGATATAATCACAGCTGTGCATGTCATGTTGTTGAGTTGGGATATAATCACAGCTGTGCAGAGCATGCTGTTGAGTTGGGATATAATCACAGCTGTGCAAGGCATGTTGTTGAGCTGGGATATAATCACAGCTGTGTATGGCATGTTGTTGATTTGGAAAATAATCACAGCTGTATGTGTATTGCATGTTGTTGAGTTGGGTTATAATCACAGCTGTGTATGGCTTTGTGAAGCTGGACTAGGTTATAATCACAGCTGTGTATGGTATGTTATGCTCCTAGGATATAAATAATCATAGCTGCACAATACATGTTGTTTGGATAGGTTATAATCACAGCTATGTATGAAATGTTGAGCTGGCATAAAATCACAGTGGTCCGTGACTTTGTGAAGCTGGGCTAGGTTATAATCTCAGCTAAGAATGACTGATGTTGAGCTGAGATATAATCACAGCTGGGAGTGACTGTGATTTTGAATTGGGAAAGAAGGTTCTGCACTTTAAATACTAAATTGTTTTTAAACTATCCACAGGACCTTTTTCATGTCAGTGGCATATTTATGATGAGAAAGATAGGGAATCAGTTGATTGATTGACAAAATGCAGTTAGGCATATGATGCTAGGCTGATATCTTTACAGACAATTTGGCACTCTAGGGGTGATGTGGTCTACAGCGTGCCAGCCGTCTTTACTTTTCATTTCTAGAACCCATTTTAGCCTTGGTTGACTTGTAAAATATTTTTTCTCCAAATGTGCCCATGTGCCCCTCTCCGTGAAAAATGTTGCTTTTAATGAGCGTATGTCCTTTTGCATCACCAAACAGGCATTGAAATGGGAAACATGGGTTGAGGAACGTGGACGACCAAGAGATACCATAAAACAACACTGATCAGAGAGGCTAAAGATGCTGGACTCCATCCGTCCATGATATCGAAAAGATTTCACAGGATAGTACGAAATGGAGGGATAGACTGTGAGCACTATGTGATGTGTAAACAGAAAGAGTACAACCTGATGATAATGATAATATCCTGTAGTTGTTTTCGTCCACCAGAGATTATCTAATGGGTCTATAGAGCCTGACTCTGACATGGGCAGAGTCATGGACCTGCAAGAGACTGTGGAGAAACAGAACACAGAGATGACCGCCGCCAGGACACGTCTGCTGGAGCTCAACAACAAGATCACAGAGCTTGAGGAGAACTTCACCACCAGTCAGAAGGAGCTGGCCAAAGCCCAGGACCTGGTCAACAAGCTGCAGCGAGATTTGAGAGAGGTAAGTACAACTACTCTTTGGCAAACTTTGTGCTACCAGTATCAAATTTGGGGGTCTGGGAACAACAGTAAAGGAGGGTGAAGCCCCCACCCCTCCCACATTGCCGGAGTCTCAAAGCTTTCATTTATACCTTTTCACAGATTCATTAATTTGCTGCAGTTCTTTTCAGAAATTCATTTCTTTTCTTTCTTTTATTTTTTAATTGTTAAAAATAAGGGAAAAAGGGGGGGGGGGGAGGGGGTGCAGGTTATTCATTTGATGCTGTCTGTATGTGAAAAGTACTCCTTGTGTTCTGGCTCATGAAAGGAACATTCTGGTCAGTCTTTATTTTTTCTAAAGTATTTGTCTCTGTCCCGCTGTGAACTGAGGATAGACAGCTTTGTTTTGCTCTTTTGGGTAATTTTAGAACGGTTGTAAGGTTTTAAAAATAATGTTTTAAAAAGTTGTTAAGAATAAAGTTCAGCTATGATCTGTGCCAGGCATGCATGGGTCAGAGGGAGGCTACTCTCATGTTATGGTCACGTATCTGCAAAATACAAACCAAGGGCTGGATCATTTGCTAGTTGCTGAATTCTTCTACCAGGTGAAGAAAACTATATAGTGAACATAACAAAGCAAATAAGAAACTTGATACTTGTCACACCCACTAGCTTTTGCATACAGAAAGTTGAAGACGGATATATACTGAGAAAACAGTTAGCCTCAACAGATATAGCTGTCATACCCACTTAAGGTTTAAATAACCTTAATCTCCCCAAAAAAAGAGTAGGTCACTTTCATTCACAAGTTTGTTGGGCTGTTCGACTTTCCTGAAGGTTATGGGTGTGTCATTCAGAGAAAGAGAATGCCTGTGACATAGGTTGCAGTACTCTCTAGGGGGGGGGGGGGGGGGGGGGGGGGTTGTGTTAGGACCAGTTTCTCCATGTTTTTGGAGTGTTAAAAGCGCTGACGTGCTGAAATATACAACACGCGATATCAACTGCATTGCAAAATACCCCCATAACCTTGTGCCAAGGTAACAGGTTTAAGGTTTAGGAACTACCAATCAGAAGTGAACTAGTGTGTATATGGGCGGGGCATGGGGAGACTAGCGTTACGTGTACTCTTACTTAAGGGATTAATCCATACTTTACTCACACCTGAACCTGATAGTTTCTGTGTACATATCAGTCGCAGGCACAGAAAGAAGACCAAGAAGAAAGGATAGCCACGTTGGAGAAGCGGTATCTGAATGCCCAGCGAGAGTCCACCTCGGTCCATGACCTCAATGACAAGTTGGAAGCTGAAGTCCAGGCTAAGGAAGCAAGTTTGAGAAGTGTAAGTTACTGTTGATTATTTGTTTTCTTTCTTCTTTGTTTTCTTTGTTTTCTTTCTTTCTTTCTTTCTTTCTTTCTTTCTTTCTTTCTTTCTTTCTTTCTTTCTTTCTTTCTTTCTTTCTTTCTTTCTTTCTTTCTTTCTTTCTTTCTTTCTTTCTTTCTTTCTTTCTTTCTTTCTTCTTGGCATTTACCTGTTGTAAACTCCGGCAGGAAGTTCTGGTTGTCTGTTCACTTCTGTCATGTTCCAGAATGTTATATCCTGAACTTTACATCCATTTTACAGACCTGGCTTACTTGTATGCAGACTGTTAGTTTCTCGCCTCTCAGGTGGATGTACTCCTTCAAAGTTGGGGGGGGGGGGGGGAGTGGGGAAGTGGTCTATCCTCCACACTAAAATAGGAGCCATGTTCGGAAGACACTAGGAATGAAAGGAGATTTGCTGAAAAAAATTAGAAAGACAAGATAAATATTTTGGCAATTGGTAAAGACATAGCACACTTATTAACACCATACTAGAAGGACATATTGAAGGCAAGCGAGCCAGAGGCAGACAGCGATACAAGTGGGAGGATAACGCCAAGAGGTGGATGAACAGCAGTTTGTGAGAGTGTACACCCGGGATGAAAGACATTGTCTTGAAGATCCATTGCAGCTGACCTTCATTGTGGAGATGGCACCTGAATAATCAGTTGAATGCTGTTTTGTTTAGTGCATCTGTCGTGTCTATAGCTGAGTAAAAACAAATGAAGTTTTTTTCAGTGAAATTGTTTCTGTTCATGGCAGGCTGAGGAAAAACTGAGAAGTCTGCAGGAGAAGGTGGAACACTTGGAGCAGAAGCTGACCCAGTCTCTGAAGAAGGTGGAAGCCATGCCAACTATTGAAGCTGAACTCCAGCAGCGACTGGAGGCACTGAGTCAGGCAAGTACACCTTTAGCTCTTCTCAGTCCCACACAGTTGTTAACAACTGTAGTCTTTTCTCTCTGAGGGAGTTGAGCTTAGAAGTAGTAAATACTCAGGTCTTGAGGAGTTGATCAGTGACACATGTGAGTGCTCAGTTCTTCTTCTTTTTCACGTTCACTGGCTGTAAACTCTGACGGAATGTTCTAGTTGTTTGTCCACCTCTTGACTTTAGTCTTGTTCCGGAACCTGAGTGTTGCATGTACATCTGTTTAACAGATCTGACTTAACTGTATGCAGATTGTTGCCTCTCATGCAGATGCACTCCATCTTCGAAGGAAGCCCCCAGTTAGTCGACTCTTATGACATGCTTGTTGGGGAGGCAGTGGGTCTATTCTTGTTATCTCCTCAGTGGGACCCCATAGCCCACACTGGGAAGTGTTATGAACTGACATCCTAGCACTTAGATCTCATAAGTGCTCCATCCTCATCTTCAGCAGCCAGTGAAGAGTTCCAGTTCAAGGGTTGCCATTGGTAGTTTGATTATAAATCTTTCTTGCCTTTCTTCTCAGTGTAGAGTGAGGACCGGATCCCCTGGTCACACCCAGCTGTACCATTGTCTCTAGACCATAATGATCTATTTGTGCCTCCGCATACCTATCTAGCTTACAGCCAGTGACACAGGAGTAGTTATAATAATAATTGAGACCCAGAGGGTTATTATGACATCTGTCTGTGATAGAAGACAGCAAGAACATAACATCACCATTGGAATGACCAAGAAATTAAGTTATATTGTTTGCTACTGAAAATATTTATAGGATTGGTAGTTTGACTGTGATGGTGTTGTTGGATGTGGTAGCTGTGGCAGGGAAAGGGGAGGTAGTTGGTACGGAGATGATGTTGTTGGATGTGGTAGTTGTGTCAGGGAAAGGGGAGGTAGTTGGTACGGTGATGATGTTGTTGGATGTGGTAGTTGTGGCAGGGAAAGGGGAGGTAGTTGGTACGGAGATGATGTTGTTGGATGTGGTAGCTGTGGCAGGGAAAGGGGAGGTAGTTGGTACGGAGATGATGTTGTTGGATGTGGTAGTTGTGGGAGGGAAAGGGGAGGTAGTTGGTACGGAGATGATGTTGTTGGATGTGGTAGTTGTGGCAGGGAAAGGGGAGGTAGTTGGTACGGAGATGATGTTGTTGGATGTGGTAGCTGTGGCAGGGAAAGGGGAGGTAGTTGGTACGGAGATGATGCAGAAAGTATCAGTAAAGCTTTTTCTTCTTCCTCACATTCGCCGGCAGAAAATTTTTGTGACAGACCGTTTGAGTTAATTTTGACAATGTTGTGAGCATAAGCCGTTTAGAAAGCAGTGCTAAACCACTGAAAGTAAAACTGTCTAGTAAAACCACAAAAGTAAAAATTGTATAGTAAAATCACAGAGTTAACACTGTCTAGTAAAACCACAAAGAGCCAACAAATATTGGGGTTGGTTTGTGATGATCTTCAAGATGATATACAACTTATATCATTGTCGCTTCTTTTTCTTTCTCTTACAGTCCCTACTGTGTAGCATTGGTAGTCATGTCTGTTTACAACCTTCTGTCTCATGTACTTTCACTCAATTCTGGCACTGATGATCTTCCATGCCATGATATCAGAATGTCCTGCATCTTCTCTCTCTTATTGATAAAATACAGCTGCAGTGTGAAAGACGGGTGTTTGGAAGGGCACAATGTAAGACGGGCCTGCGTGCCCAATTTGTGACCTGTTCGTTCGTTCGTTCGTTCAGTCTTCCCCTGACTCTTTCCCCCTTAAATGTTCCCACCATCATCATGTACTCCAGTTATTTCCTTTTCAAAAAAAAAAAAAAAAAATGCATATTGTTTCCTGATGTGGGCATTGACAGTCACATCATAATTATTTCTGATTCTACAGGCGGAGGAAAGGTATGGGTCTACCGAAGAAAGAATTCTGAACCTGGAGCAGGCTGTACGTGACAAGGAGTCGGAACTCTTGAGGGTAAGTCCTGCTCACTCAAAATGAGTGAGTGAGTGATGTTCAACCCCACCAGGATTATACTAGAATGATAATCCTCGGTGACACAAAGTGCTATATATATATATATATATATATATATATATATATATATATATATATATATATATATATATATATATATATATATATATATATATATATATATATATATATATATATATATATATATATATATATAGCTCATAGTTTAGTGTTTCATGTTAAATTTTGCCATTGTTAGTATGACAGAAGCGATGAATATATATATATATATATATATATATATATATATATATATTAATATTTCTGTAAGTGGCACTAGTTAAATGTACTTTGAATATTATCATCATCATCCAGCCGGTCCTTTACAGAATGTCATTGTCTTGTCACGTCACGCTTGACAGTCTCTCTTTTTCTAGCTCTATATGTTTTCATAGCCGGTGCATCTTCACTGTCTTGTATCTATCTTTGCGGAGGTCTACATGTGCCAGAATCTGTACCTTCCATCACCACTCTCTCCAGCCTTGACATTTAACACGGCCAAACTACCTAAGCTTTCAGAACAGGATGCTTGAAATAAATGAAATATACTATGCATATTGGTATTTTGTATAACAGGAGTTCTCCATGGCGAAGTAGTCAAGCCGTTTACCTTGCACTTTAAAGGTCATGGGTTCATTTCACGGCCATTTTGTGTGGTTCACAAGTGCAGTTTTTATGAATATCATCACTGGAGCCTTGGAGTTTGTGCTTTGTGCAAGACTCTGTAGGCTGCTAGCCGTTTTGTGGAGAGGTCACATATGAGAAAAAACGTGATGCGGTGAAGTCGATCATCTCAGCTTTAACCATATTTCAAATATGTCACTTAATGTGATGTATTAAATAGGTTAGCAGTTCTCAATATGTAATAAAACACATGCATATTCATTTCTTTTACTTCACATGCTCTTTTACCTATTTGGATATCAAGGGAGATACGTGTTATGGATCAAGGGAGATACGGGTTATGGATCAAAGGAGATACATGTTATGGATCAAGGGAGATATGGGTTATGGATCAAGGGAGATACAGGTTATGGATCAAGGGAGATACGGGTTATGGATCAAGGGAGATACGGGTTATGGATCAAGGGAGATACGTGTTATGGATCAAGGGAGATACGGGTTATGGATCAAGGGAGATACGGGTTATGGATCAAGGGAGATACGGGTTATGGATCAAGGGAGATACGTGTTATGGATCAAGGGAGATACGGGTTATGGATCAAGGGAGATACGTGTTATGGATCAAGGGAGATACGGGTTATGGATCAAGGGAGATACGGGTTATGGATCAAGGGAGATACGGGTTATGGATCAAGGGAGATACATGTTATGGATCAAGGGAGATACGGGTTATGGATCAAGGGAGATACATGTTATGGATCAAGGGAGATACGGGTTATGGATCAAGGGAGATACAGGTTATGGATCAAGGGAGATACGGGTTATGGATCAAGGGAGATAGGGTTATGGATCAAGGGAGATACGGGTTATGGATCAAGGGAGATACGGGTTATGGATCAAGGGAGATACGGGTTATGGATCAAGGGAGATACGGGTTATGGATCAAGGGAGATACGGGTTATGGATCAAGGGAGATACGGGTTATGGATCAAGGGAGATACGGGTTATGGATCAAGGGAGATACGAGTTATGGATCAAGGGAGATACGGGTTATGGTTCTTGCTCATCCTATGGTCTTGACTATGGACACCTAATTCTGTAGTAGAGTTTCTCTGTAATCTTTCCTTCATGCACTTGGCCGGTTTCATACTGTACATACCTCTTTCTTTCGGTATATGATTTTTGTATTGTGTAGGGTTAATTAAAAAACACACTTTTTTTTGAGTAGGCTAACCATTTTATTATCTTAGCATGCTTTTTGGTATTGCTTGATGTGCTTAATTTTTTTCTTGCATGAATGCCTTTCTGCTCTTATCTTTTCTGGTCATTCCTGTAACCTTTCTCAGACATCTATTTCCATGGTTACTGATTTGTGTTTATACATTGTTTTGCGGGGCTATTGATACCATGGGGTGAGGGATGAGTGCTTTTTTGAGTTTTTATGTAGTGTAATTAGTTTATTTATTTGTTTTTGAGTTTTTTACGATTTTTTAAAACCATTAACAAGGCATTTAAAAAAAAAAATAGATTCATGTTGTGATTGTTTATTTGCAGTCGCGTCAGAGAGAAAAGATGAACGAGGAACACAATGTTCGCCTGTCTGCCACTGTTGACAGGCTTCTGACGGAGTCCAATGAGCGTCTGCAGCTGCATCTGAAGGAACGAATGAGTGCGCTAGAAGACAAAAACCAGCTGACCTCTGACTTACAAAGGATTAGCAAAATTTTGGAAGACACACAGCAGGAAAAGGTAAGAACAAATTGTGTCTGGTTTTTTTTTTAAAAGTACTTGTTTCTTTTTTTAAATAATAAAAGTAAAGTAGAGGACCCTTCTCCACGCCTTCAGGCATATAGGGCTAGACCTATATTTTATAGACCAATCGACACTTGGTGGGTGATGTGGTCAACATCACGCCAGCCGCCTTGACTTCCCAGGACTGCACCTGATACCCACTCAAGGCTGGGTCGACCTGGGAGCTAAGGTCATTTTTTGCAGAAAGCTCGGTTCCACCAGGACCTGAGCCCACAAAATTCTGATCGACAGGCGAGCATCTAGGCGTTACGTCACGGTGACTGCCTTGTTAATAATAAGGACACGTGTAGTATATTGGAGAGTTTATTGCTGGTACATTTCACTATCTTGGGTACAGGGAGCCTGTAGTGTAGTGGCTAGATACTCACCTGTTGGTTCTAAGGTCTTGGATTCAACCGCACATTAAGGTTATGTTTTTGTTTTGCTTTTCAAAAACTGACCTCATCGCTTCCACCCTAAAATAGGTGAGTTTGATGTTGACTACATCACTCACTAAGTGCTGAAAAGTCTATAAAAATATGAGTGTAGGACCATATAATCCAGTTTGCTGTTGTATACTCACAGGTGCATACTAAACAGTTTAGATCATTGTTTAGGATCTCATCATTTACATTCACAATGGGGAAACATTGTTGTGAAGGTTTCTTTACACACATCTTCCTCCTTCACCTTCTCCTCTCCCCTGCAGCTTTACAATGTATGTTGCTCAGAACATGCAGTTAATACCAGTGTTAGAAACAGTTTAAAAAAAAAAAAAAGATCCAGTTATTTGGTGCAGTGTCATGGTTACAATGAAGCACTTCTGCACATAATTGTGGTGTTCACTGTCTAGGGTCCTTGCTGTTGCAATGTAGTGTGGGCACTGTGTTAAGATTTTCATGTTATCTGTTAGAACAGTGGTTCTCACCTGTGGTTGGCGACCCTTTTGTAGGTCGAATGACCCTTTCGCAAGGGTCGCCTAAGACCATAGGAAAACACATATTGATTGAAGTTATGAAGTTGCAATGAAAATAATTGTATGGTTAGGGGTCTCCACAAAAAAGGAACTATTAAAGGGTTGCCACGACGTGAGGAACTGTATAAAAGGGTTGCAGCATTAGGAAGGTTGAGAACCACTGTGTTAGAAGATAGAAGCTCTCATGAAGTTTCAGTGGGCATGTTAATCCCTGGCTGGGTTCCAGTAGCTGATTTTAGGTGAAAATAAGAATAGATCCATTGACCTCCAATCCCAATAATCATGTCATAAAATATGAACAATGAGGAGTTTGCTTAAATTTGATCTGTTGGATTGAAAGGTACAAATTTTGCAGCCTAATGTAAACCACATTACTACCTGCCAACCACCCTTTTAAGGGCAAACCAGAAAAATGGACAAGTACGTGTTAAAGAGATCCCTAGAGTAATCATTTTGTCTCAAGAACATCTTGCATCTGTTCTTTCCTCACTGCCATCCTCTCTCCTTCCTTCATTCATATATATTTTGGGAGAGAAACCCTGGCTGCTTGACTTTCTAGAATATTTTCTGGTGCCTGTCTGAATAGCAGCTGGCCAAATAGTTAAGAACTCTGGTCTTTCATGCAGGAGACCCATGTTCGAACCCCGGGAAGATCATGGATTTTTTTCTGTCACGGACAAAAATAAAACCCTGATCTGCAGAGTCCATGGCAACAACACTAACCCAAAAACATCAGGTAGAAAGACCCTTGTCTACACCCACAAAAGTAAAGGCAGTAATCAGCAGGTAGCCTATCTGAATGTGAAAGAGGTGGAAGGTGTGTGAAAACATGGTAGATGATACAAGAGGTAAGAGCTTCAAACTTGTCATCTTCAGGAACGCATCAATGATGATCTGTTGAGGTACCGGAAAGAGGTGGAGACTCTACGTATGCAGATGGAGCAGCTGATGAGGTTAGTCGACTGTATTCTTTTTGCGGGTTCTGGGGCCCTTGGAAAGAGGGTGAAAGGGGGGGGGGGGGGATGGACAAAACTTTTTTGCTTAACAAGGATATGGTAAAAGGCAGATAATGAGAGTTTGGTAAAAAAAAAATATAGGTAATATGTTAGGCCAAACGGTGGAGATATTGCAGCTGAGCTATCATTGTGGGAATTGCCCAAGGTCAACCGCAGAAAGTTTTCTTTATCATTGGTATCTGGTTTTTTAAAAAAATAATTTTTTTTGGGGGTGTTTTACATTTTTATTTTATATCGTAATTTTCTAGACCCTTCAAGACATTTGTAGGTGTATTAAATAGCGTTTTTAGCATTTGGTCCCGTCACTGGGCTACACTCTGTTATGAGTGAGATGACAGAAGAAGAAAAGAAGAAGAAGCATCATCATTTAGCAACTCCTTTTGCAGAACTTCATTCCCTACATGAGCCACTATAAAGACCTCAAGTCTCTGGCCTCATGATTATTCTTTTGCTGTTTTTAAAATAGATTGTTTAAATCTACAACATGATATTTTACAGGAATTTCAGCCTTTATAAAATAGATTCTTCAAATCTGCAACATGATATTTTATAGGAATTTCAGCCTTTATAAAATAGATTCTTCAAATCTGCAACATGATATTTTATAGGAATTTCAGCCTTTATAAAATAGATTCTTCAAATCTGCAACATGATATTTTATAGGAATTTCAGCCTTTATAAAATAGATTCTTCAAATCTGCAACATGATATTTTATAGGAATTTCAGCCTTTATAAAATAGATTCTTCAAATCTGCAACATGATATTTTATAGGAATTTCAGCCTTTACAAAAATATTTCTCAGTGATCAGAACAGTTTAGTTAGAGTGTTTCTTTAGGCTAAATGGTTCGCCTTAATGTGTCATTTAATGTGACAATCAGAGTATGTTTCTGCTCTCAGTGCATGGGGTTGTTATTCACATTTTGTATTTCATATACATGTGACTGTGTAAAAGTAATAATGAGAAAAATTATAACCTACACAGTTTGTGGCGGCTGCACTAACCATGCGGCCTTAATTCCTTAGGCTTATCGGAGGGGATAAGCCCTAAAAACTACATTTACTGCCTTCATTTACCACCTTCATTTACCACCTTTAGTTTGTAGGCATGGAAGTCTTTGAGTCTGAGGATTTTGGGCCCTGTGGCTAGTGCTGGTCACCATGGACTGAGCATTAAGGGTTTAAAACCATAAAAGCCCAGTGTTCTTAACCATTCGGCCAGCTGTTCTTTGTCCTGCACTTTCTTAAAAGTAGTACATGCGGGCATTAAATACGATCAGCCAGGGTCGTATTATTGATTGTGCTCTATTCTCAGGCCCATTATGTTTTGTTCTTGTCTGACCATAATCACATCTAGTGATAAAACAGATGATTTCCATTACCCTAGGAGAAGAGGATTTCTGTGATATGTTTTATCTGCTTGCAGAGCTGGCTATGCATTTGAGGACAATGTGTCCCGTCGTCGCCACAGAGGAAGGGAACATGCGTTAACCGAGGATCCCTCAAAGGTAACCATTTGTTGGCTCATTATAAAGTTGTCTGTTATTTATTTGTAAACAAATAATGGTATTTTGGGATCCTATGACAAAACAACAAGCAGAAACATATCTAAATACCTCCCAGAATCCTTGACTAGTAGTAGTAGTTGAGGTTTCGGCTTCCTTGAAAACAAGTCAGCCATCTTGTTTCTGTGCCAGTAAAATTCACACAAAATACCCTTCTTTGTCCTATTTGAAAACTAGTGAACAAACAATTAGTCCCTGTGAAATTCAGAAACAGGCACGCACAGTATGGTAGTCTGGTAGTCTGGTAGTCTGGTAGTCTGGTAGTCTGGTAGTCTGGTAGTCTGGTAGTCTGGTAGTCTGGTAGTCTGGTAGTCTGGTAGTCTGGTAGTCTGGTAGTCTGGTAGTCTGGTAGTCTGGTAGTCTGGTAGTCTTAGTTTCAGCTTCATAGCAAACGGGTCGCCCCATCTTTGCTCCGCTCCTGTGCCAGCGAAAAACACTCAGAATGTCTATCACAGTTCCTTGTGGGAAAAATTGACAGACTGCTGTCTCAGCATATCTAGCATACACTCGCATTAAAGCATATGGTAGCCATCCGAAGTGCTAACACAAACAGTCCAACATTAGAAATGCAGTTCATCATTGATGATAGCAGAACTTGTCGTTAACATATCAGCAGTTGTCCGCGTGATCAATTTTAATACGGGTCCCGCCAGCATTGAACGACAGGCAACGCGCCATTTTCTGAATCTACAATTCTTACCACCACGTTGGTCACAGTCGAAAAAAAAACACATTCCAAATGCAATCCGCAGCTCACAGGGTCACGCCATGCATTCAACTCAGAAGCTGGGCGACGAAACTATATCCAGTCTACAAATGGAGCAAAAATGCATGGGCCACCGTCCGGCAGAAGCAAAAAATTTGCCTCTGTTCCGAACGGCGCCGCTGTCTAGCGTCCATTTTAACCGCACAGTAAATGTATAAGGCAGAGGTGCCAACACTACATAGAATTGCAATTTGTTCTTGATGGAAGTAGACAGTCACATTATTATTAATGCATAAAACTCTTAGCCATATAAAACAAATACAATCCACCAGCCATTTTCTCAATATCACCACACAAACCGGTGCGAAAGGCATTCTTCATGAAATACACAGCTCACAGTGTTGCACAAAGCACATAACTCAGTAGTTTAGGTAACGAAACTGTGGACCTGTATGTGGAAACCGCATTAGCAGACTGGCTAGAAGCAAAAAAATATTTTACAGCTTGAACAAACTTTCCTGCCTGTTTGCCAAATTGGACTGGAAATTTCACATGAAAATAGTTTCAGCCAGTGGAAATTCAGCCTACAGTTGGTACTTGGCGTTGTCCTGGGAAGTAAAGGTGGTGGGTGTGATGTTATCCACATTGCCCACCAAGTTCCGACTGGTCTATGAAAAATGTGTCTATTATCATGAGCCAGGAGCACAACTGGCATTATTTTTAAAAAAAAAGGGGGGGGGGGGGGGGGTGTTCCCTTACTCTTACTTACAAATGAAAAACGAAGGAGAAGCCAATGATGTGAACAATGGACAGCAAAATATAATGGTCCTTGGAAGCTTACAAATGAGTTCTCTGCTGCTGTTTCACTTCACTTTGACACTTCTAGGGTTCAGAGGTATAAGATGAGACCTCCTTTGGGGTCTAAGACCATATTTTGGGGAGCAAAAAAGATTAGATGCATTGTTTCTCAGCAAGCATGTCATAGCAGGCCGTTCATTAGTTAAATGCTGAAATACAATTGTGGGGCTGAAAGGCACAGATAACAGCCTAGCTGTAGACCACAACACAATGTGCCAGTCATCTTTTAAGGGCAAGTGCAGAAGAAAGTGATGAAATTATGATCCTCTTCTTCTTTATCACCAGCAGTAAACTGGCAGAAAGTTCTGGTTGTTCACCCACATCTGGACTTTGGTCTTGCTGCAGAACTTGAGTTGTGCTTATTTATATGCAGACTGTTGGTTCCTCGCCTCTCAGGCAGATGCACTCTGACTTCAAAGGATTCACCTTGACTTTTACAACATCTTTGTTATGGTGGGGGGGGGGGGGGGGGGGGGGGGGGGGTGTGGCTTTTCTTATATCTAGAACCAACACAGGGAAGAGTGATGATTAAAATCAACAGTTATGGGAAAACACACAATTAACACGAGTGTGTCAGCATTTTAGAAACAAATGTTTATGTGGCCTTCCCCTCACGGAGATGAGATGACTTCTCTTTCACAGGTAAACACCCTAAACGAACAAGAGTGGGAGAAACTGCAGCAAGCACACGTGCTAGCAAATGTGGCCCATGCCTTTGATGCCAGCGACACTGAAGGCACAGATGATAGCGAGTCTCTGTTTGGAGGTGTGGACCTGCTGTCACCGTCAGGACACACCGGGGCTCAGACGCTGGCCATCATGCTTCAGGAACAGCTGGACGCCATCAACAATGAGATTAGGTGTGTTTGAGTTTTTGTCTTAAGTGCTGATAGTTAGTTAGTTAATCGACAGATTATCCTCACTGCATATCAGACAAGTCCATAAGCCTTCGGATCCCATCTTCAGTATATCCCACAGCGTGTGGCAACTGATAACACCATATGTGGTTCCGATTCTCTATGCAGAACTGTGTTTGCTTTCTATTCTTTGGCTAGCTGTATAGTGTTTATGTGTGGCGACACCTCTTTTGACCTGAAGTTCTTGTGGTCTTTTGAGTATTGCCGATTCAGTGTTGTCTCCTGAATCATCTTCTTGTCTTGCCTCCTTGAGAACACTGAGAATGTCAGCCCGGTCCATTGCTTTTCCTGTACCTACCGTGGCCCTGCCAGCAAGCCAATCCACTCGTTTATTCCCTTTTACCTCAGAGTGTCCTGGCACAAAAATGAAATTTTATTCCTATTAGACAAGATTTTCTCAGCGATAGATCTAGTGGTAACCTAAAACTCAGTGGTTGGATTTAATTCCCAGAAGATAAGGAAGTATACAAAAATAATACCTTGCATGATTTTTCAGCGAACTCATAACATAAGCCCTACCCCAAATATCGCCAGTCAAGTCAGTCAATCAGGTGCCATCTCCACAATGAAGGTTGGCTGCAATGGATCTTCAACACGCTATATCTCTTGTCTTGATTGTACACTCTCTTAGACTGCTGTTTGTCTATCTCTTGATGTTGTCCTTCCACTTGTCACATTGTCTAACTCTTACTTCTTTCCCTCGACTTTTCCCTTCAGTATGGTTTTTAAAATATATCCTGGTTAAGATTGGCATCCAAACAGATGAATTTTATTCACTCGTTAAAGTACACGACGGACATATTGAATTACAGTGTTAAATGTTAAATTAAGAATCGGCATCACAGCACTCAGGACACTGCCGTAAGCACTCCATCCCCATCTTCAGCAGCAAGCGAAGAGTTCCAGTTCCAATGTCACCAGTAAATGTCTGTACATCCGTCTTGCCTTTCTCTTGAGTGTTGAGCATCAGCCAGATCCCCTGGTAACCTCGCAGCGCCATTCTCCTCAGACCGCAATAATCTATCTGTGCCTCTGCACTGTTCACTCACTCCCACAGGGCCCTCACAACATCTAGCTTGTCACAATCAGTTCCACAAAGTGGTGTAGAACTGGCCAATCTATCTGCCTGCTCGTTTACCAACACACCAGCATTTCCTGGAGAAGATATCCAAAAGGACGCTGACTACACAGGACCTCTGAAGCGATGCTTGCCACTCATCGCGGAGCATGCCTATCACTACCTTTCTCAGCATTCTGTGTGAGTCAGTTAGAATTATGACATGTACAACTGATTATCAAGCCTGCGGAAGGCAGCAGTGACTGCCTCCACCTCCATTGTCAAACTAAACGTTGTGATATCATATGCCAGGCTTTGCTGCACTAATCAAAAGGAAAGTCTGTTAGCTTTTGCTGTAAACCCCCATGCACTCCATCTGACTCTCAACACAGAGCCATCTGTATAGATAATCACATCATGGGGGCTTTACTTAGGGCTTCCTACTATTCTGTGTTGCTATACATAAACATGCATGTATTCTCTCTGTCTCTCTGTCTGTCTGTCTGTCTCTTTCTTTCTGTGTCTCTCTCTCACACACAGAGACTGGTTTCAGGTGGGGGTGTGTAAAATGTTTGCATATTCAGTTTTAAAAAAAAAGTTATTTGCATATCCTTTATAGGCCATTCATTGCTGGCTCGCTGGCCAGGTTGGTTAAACCTGACTTTGCGGCAACAGTGTGACAAACTTCTTGTGGTCCGGGTTCACGCCCGGAGGTTGACAGAAAAGCCACATTTCTCCCAGACTTACGCTACCTATCATGGAGTCAAGGCCGAAGGGTTAACAACTCATGGTTTCTGGATATTAAAAAAAAAGGACATTGCTGGATCAGTGCCAGCATATTTTGGCTGCTTGGTTTGACTAGACAAGTTTATGTGAATGTCTGATAATGAGATTTCACTTTTTTTTTTTTTCACATTAAGTAGATATTTGTCATATAAGAAGATTTCATTTTTTTTCTGAACATAAGTTAGATGTTTGTGAAATGCTGGAGATTTAGGATTTCTTCTGCACATTAAGTAGATTTTTGTCAAATAACCGGAGATTTGGCAATTTTTTTTAATTTCACATTGAGTAAATAAATGGAGATTGAACATTTTTTCCCCCTTTGCATTAAGTAGAAATTTATCAAATGCCAGAGATTTCACATACATTTATGCACATTGAGGAAATATTTGTCTAATAACTTGAGATTTTATATCTTCTTCTGCAAATTAAGAAAATATTGGTAAAGTGATTGAACATTTTTATTCTCAAATTTGACAGGTTAATTCAGGAAGAAAAGGAAAGTACCGAGCAGAGAGCAGATGAACTGGAAATCAGGGTAGGCAGTGGTAGTTTGGATACTTTACCAGGTCGGTGGCGGGGGTATGAGCGATCTGCCTCGCCTCCAGCAAGTGGGTGCTCTACGCCCACGCATCCACCCTCGTACCAGTCTAGGGATTCACTACAGAAATATCACACTGTAAGTGCAGGCAGATGTCCGTGACTGGCGGATAATGGGTTTTGGGCGATATCTGACGAGGTCCCAGAGGCTAATAGAGTAGGTGAACAGAGTTTTGGAGAAAACTTTTAGAGAAAACAGATTTACTATTGACTATTTTCATGTCAAAGAAATATCAGTCCAAACTAGAAGTAGAACGAGAAGTATTATTGTGCGTGAACTGCAAAATGTACATTGTGGCTACAAAGATTTCATCAGCACATAGAACAAGTGGACAATGAAAGTTATAAACAGTAATACGTTCAGTCACTTAGCTTTTGCAGTAAGGCCTGGCACAAAGTCTCCATGCATGCTTGGATAGTAGAGGCTCTACTTCATGTATCATCGCAGCAGTAAGATGCTGAATAGAAAGTGATACAGGGAGAAGGGGGGGGGGGGGGGGAGGGGGGGGGGGGGTGAATGATTATAGCAAGGGACATACCTTGAAACAAAAAAAGTATTCAAATAAAATTGTTGAACCATCTTTATGGGAGGGACTTTGCCCTTTGGGAAGTTAAATGATAAATAACAAACTACAGTTTGTTGCTTGGATAGATAACAGCTTGATATGTCTTCTTCAGAGAGTCCCTGTTTGTAAATAAATGGAGATTGTGATGCTGTATGTTGCACACAGTTTATGTTAATTTATTAAGCATTTGAGTGGGTGGTCAGTCTCGAGGCTAATCATTCCTTATAATTCTTTATAACTCATTGGCAAATACAAGACCCCAGATGAGCCCAGGAGACCATTTCTGCCAGTCATTGGACAATATGTCACTGAGTATTGTACCTGCCTGCTTTGTGAAGTATAGAACCTTGTGTTGTATGTGCTAGAATCCAGCATCTTATGTCTATGCTAGAATCCAGCATTGAGTGTCCTATGTGATAGAATCCAGCATTTTGTGTTCCTTGTGATAGAATCCAACAATTCATTCCCCATATGCTAGAATCCTGCACTTTATGTCTCATGTGCTAGAATCCTACACTTTGTGTTTCCTTTGCTAGAATCCAACACTTTGTGCCCCATATGCTAGGATCCAACATTCTGTGTCCTTTGTCCTAGAATCAGATTTTGTGATACATACGCTAGAATCCAGTTCTTTGTGTCACAAGTTTCTATAATTCAGGACTTTGTGACACAAGTAGAATGCAACAATTTGTGACACAAGTTCTATAATCCAGGACTTTGTGACACAAGTTCTATAATTCAGGACTTAATGACACAAGATGTAGAATCCAACACTTTGTGACCCAAGTTCTATAATCCAGGAATTTGTGACACAAGATGTAGAATCCAACACTTTGTGACCCAAGTTCTATAATTCAGGACTTTGTGACACAAGATGTAGAATCCAACACTTTGTGACTCAAGTTCTATAATCCAGGACTTTGTGACACAAGTTGTAGAATCCAACACTTTGTGACACATTTGCTAAAATCATGTTCTTTGTATCATATGTTTTAGAATCCAATTCTTTGTGACATCCAACACTTTGTGACACGTGCTAGAACCCAACACTTTGTGCCGTAAGTTCTAGAATCCATCACTATGTGACACAAGTTCTGGAATCCAGGACTTTGTGACACAAGATGTAGAATCCAACACTTTGTAACACATGCTAGAATCCAGTTCTTTGTGTCACATGTTCTAGAATCCAAGACTTTTTGATACAAGAGGTAGAATCCAACACTTTGTGACACATATGCTAGAATCCAGTTCTTTGTGTCATATGTTCTAGAATATCATCTAGAATCTAGTTTATTGTGACACAAGTTGTAGAACTCTAACACTTTGTGACACATGTGCTTGATAAACCCAGCACTTTTTGACACATGTGCTTGATGAACCCTGCACTTTGTGCCGTGTCCTAGAATAAATCACTTTGTGTCACATGTACTAAAATCCAACACTTTGCATGTTTCCTTTCAGTTTAACATTTGTAGCCATGAAAGCTATATCTGAGCACTGTAGTCTGTATATTCTTTATGCAGCTTGCATTTTGAATCATAAGATAATCTTCAGAGTAACACTGCATGTTCATTGTGAAAGTTGTATCTTTATCACTGAACTCTGTCACTCTTTATATATTCACATTGATGTACAGTGTCCTAGTTTTACCTTTCTTGTTATGTATGTGAGACAAGCCAGTACCGAGTCACACTTTGCTTGCTAGCGTAAGGCTAGTATTTTTGAGCCAAAATGTGCATAATGACTCCAAACCTGGTAATACAAGTAGCTATAGAAAGTCTGTTTTGAGAAAATTTCGTAACAATGATTAAAAACAAATTAGAAAAATTAAAAACAGCAACAAATGTTGACTGCATGTCAGTTCTCCAGGTGACTCAGAGGGATTCACGAGGCAACACGGAGAGAGAACTGACCCGCCAGCTAAACAGACTCACAGAAAACTATCAAATCATTCTCCTAGTGGATCCCAGCTCACTGCGGCATACCAGGAAATGAGTTAGCAGACTGACTTGCAAAAAATGGAACAAAGGAGAAACAATGCACCATCCATTGTCATTACTAGAAATCAGAACACTAATCAAGGGAAAATACAAGGAATTGTGGAGAGAACAAACTAACAGTAAACATCCACAAGACCCCATCAGCAGACTCAACTGAAAGCAACATTCAACAATTTTCCGTCTACGAACAGGACACTGCAGGCTCAGTTAACACATGCATAAAATAAAGATTGTACAGTCCCCACAGTGTGCCTGTCAAACAGGACCACAGGACCACAAACACCTCAGCATATTCTGCAGACCTGCCTACTCTGCACACTTTGCTCTTGAGGCCAGATGCATCTGGCCTCAAGAGCAAAGTGTGCAGAGCAAGCTGTGGGGAACCATGCAGGACCTGCAGCTGACCTGCGAGTTAATAGAGGCAGCTCACCTGATGGTTTTATCTGAGCATACGAAACCGAACGCAAAAAAGAAGAAGAAAAATACAAATTGTAGAAGTACTGCGGGTGTAGAGAACTGGTAGAGCTAATATTAATATGAACAGAATTAACTGTTAAAGTCTCTTGCGAATAACTGATTGCCCGCATCAGAAGACAACGATCTGCAGTCTTTGGTTGTTACATGATTAAAAAGGTGCCAGTACTGTGTATCACCAGAGAAAAAAAAAAGCTCTGGATATGAAAATGACACAGATGTGATTTGCACATGCCTAGCAGTTTTAAGCATGGTTTCATTATTTGCTGTCTGGTTGTTGTATCCTTTACTTTTGTTGTTTTATTGCGTTGCACTTTGTTTTATACTGATTTTGCATAGTTGTCATTCATGGACCTTTTTATGTTGTGACTGTTGTCATTGAGAATTTACTGTTGCATTGTTCAGTGCTTGCTTCTGCTCTAAAACGGTTGAATTTTTTCCATATTCATTGTTGTATATTTTTTAAAAGAACAAAACAGTTATGTTGAAGGGTGTATTCTCTTATTTTTCAACTGCGTATTCTTTATATGCATTATGAAATCTTAATAAATGAGTTTCTCATAATATTGGCCTTTTATGTCATAGAATAATTAAAATTGTGCCATGCCATAACAAGATGACTAGAATGTCATTTTATTGGAACCCAGAGTGCAGATGTGAAAGAGGGAGACCTGAAAACACATGGAGTATAATTATAATTATAGGCAGAGGTCTTCTTCTTTCTGTGTCTTCATCCACTTCTGGACTTTGGTTTTGTTCCAAACTGGACTTTTGTTTTGTTCTAAACTGGACTTTGGTTTTGTTCCAAACTGGACTTTGGTTTTGTTCTAAACTGGACTTTGGTTTTGTTCTAAACTGGACTTTGGTTTTGTTCAAGAACTTGTACTTTGCATCTGCCTCCATTTTACAGATCCTTTGTGCAGACTATTGATTCTGTGCGAGTAAAAGACAAAAAAAAAATGGTTGCTCGTCCACTACTGAACTGCAGTCCTGCTCCAGAACCTGAGTGTTGCGTGTGTATCAGTTTTACAGATCTCATTCTCTTGAATACAGACTGTTGGTTCCTTGCCTCTCCTGCAAATGCACTCCGACTTCAAAGGAAGCTCTTCAATTATTTGACTCTTACGAGGTGCTTTTGGTGAGGCAGTGGGTCTATTCTTGTTTTCCCCACAATGAGGCCCCGGAACCCACACGGGGGACTGGAAATTGCATATTATGGTTTTCTCAAAACTATTTTTATTTTCATCATAGGCACATTTTTGAAACTTTTAAAATATACAAATAACCACTTCTGGTTCAGGTTAAATTTGGTGTGAATTAGTATGTAGCCAAATTAACTGAATCCCCAACCTTCACGATGCAGTGCAAATGACTGAACCATTTTTTCTTGCCATTTCCTTTTGTATCCTTCTTCATCTTTCTTGAGTTACCTTATGAAAGTTTTGGGAAGTGGAGGACTGTAAGGATGTTGTTGGCTTTTCTGATGCATTGTAGAAATAGATCTTCGTTTCTGTGAGGCTGTTCTTATGCCGTTGTTCCATATTTTGTGTGGTCATTCCATTGCTCTGGGTTCTTTATATTTCTTCAGCATTACAGTTTGCGCCAGGGCATTCCTGTCAAATGGCTAGACCATCTCATCTGTTGCCTGTTTCCTGTTAAAATTTATTTAGTAGTTTTCACCCCCCAACAATGAAGATGCATTCAACAGTTATATTACTTCCCTTCTGATAAATGTTGACAAGTGTTTCCCATTGAGATGTAAAATTGTCCTCACTAAAGATTGATTTAACAATTTTTGCTTCCCTTCCCAGGCACCAGCTGGTATGACAGCACAAATGTACACATATTCATCATCTAGTCCTCAGTTAGCCACAGCAGCGGACTCTAGTCCCAGTCAGCAGGTGAGATAACCCATGTCATCTTATATACAACAGTCTTAGATGATGTTCAGGTGCTTTTAATGCCACTGGCGCATCAGGCTTATGATTGTAGACTCGTAATGTTTAGACCAATCAGTATTCCGTGGGTGGGTGATGTGGTTAACAATGTGCCGTCCCTGTTAGATTTGTGTCTCTAGGCCTCACATGCAAGCTACCTTTGGGGTTCTTGGGTCCCATCTTCTGGTGGGGGTGCTTTCCCTTACAAGCATGTTGTAAAATGTGACTAATTAGGGTTGTTTCAAAGTTTTACTGAGAAGCAGACAACAGTCTGTGTACAATTGAGCCAGATCTGCATGCAGAACTCAGCTTCTGGGACAAAACCAGAATCCAGAAGTGGATGAACAACCAGAACTCTTCCGCTGGAGTTTACATCTGGTGAACATTAAGAAGAAAATTTAGGGAGCGGATCACCGTGAAGTGTTGGTCTACTTTACAAAAACAACAACAAGATGTTGCAGTGACAAGCCTTCGTTGGCAAACTACAAGAAGAAGTCGACCACAATCACACAGAACAAAAATGGAAAAGATTGCAAAATAACTGCAGTAATGTTCAGGCACACATTTTTATATTTACTGATAAACTACAAACATTCATTAACTTGCATCTGCGCACAATACATTGAATTGTATGGTATGACAGAATCAGTAAAGCAGAATTGTGGTAGAGAACTAAATAAAATCCACTGAATCAGGAGGTGAGGAAAAGGCGCTGTTATTATCTGGATAGGACACAGACACAGAAAACATGATGTTAGTATAACTATAACGTCTGTGCATTGGAATCAAAGTCAGAGGAATAAAAGCAGATAAAAAAATACAAATAGAGAGGAGAATTAGAGGTTAAAGAGATGGGGAAGATCTGGGGTTAGATGTAGGCAATAGGTACTTGTCTCCAGTGATTAAGAATCTACATACCCAGTTTGCATATCACTAGTCTAGATGATAGAATTTGAAAGTCAAGGGAAAGCCACCACGTGTGGATTCCGGGGCCCCGCGTGTGGATTACAGGGCCCCATTGTGGGAAAAACAAAAATAAATCTACTACCTCCTTCAAAAAGCATGTTGTAGGAGTCCACTGAGAGCCGCTGTGGAGTAGTGACTAGATGCTCGTCTGTGGACCAGAAAGTCATGGGTTCGAGTCCCAATGGAGCCTGACTTTTTTTTCAAAAATGACCTTGGTTCTCAGGGCGACCTCGCCTTGAACGAACGAACAACAAACTTTATTTTCAAAGGGTTACAGATTGGGCACGCAGGCCCGTCTGACATTTGGCCCTTCTGAGCACTCATTTTTCTGAGTACCAATGCCTGTTATCTAAAATGCATGTTATAGATATAGAATAAAAATTTACATTATAGAATATAATACATACATCATGTGTACACAATCTTACACACTCACACACATATGTATATATATATGCTCTCACATTCTCATACATGCACACTCATATACAGTCATACCTAACACATAAATGGATACCCAGTCCTGGGAAGTAAAGGCAGATGTCGTGATGCTGACTACATCACCTACCTTGGTCTATAAAATAAAGGTCTTGCCCCATATGCCTAATACACCTGAAAGCGTGTAAAAGGATCTTTTACTTTTACTTCACTTAGAGGAATCCACTAATTAGTATTAGGAGCATCCTTCGAAGTCAAAGTACATCTGCCTGAGGAGCAGGGAACTGATAATCTGCATACAGATAAGCTAGTTCTGTAAAACAGATGTGCACACAACATTCAGGTTCTGGAACAAGACAAATGTCCATGGGTGGATGAACAACCAGAACTTTCTGCCTGAGCTTATAGCCGGTGAACACGAAGATGAAGAAGAGGGAAGGCCATATAGTTTGCCAAAAAAGAATCTGATGGGCAGTCACAGAGCTAGATTCATGAGCAGTATATTTTTTAAAAAAAAGTTCATACTAGACTTTGTATGTAATAGCCTTACTAGGTAATTAATTAATTAAGATGTTGTCCCTTCTCGTTTAATGTTTAGCAATACAGTCGAGATGACAGCACAATCAACTCGAAAGAAGAAGCTCGCCAGATAAAGTGTGAATCAAGTCCGCCAACACCAAGAGCTCTTCGGCTAGAGCGAGTGGCTGCTGCACTGGCAAAGAGTCCAGAGGAAGCTTCCACGTGAGTACATCTGGAAACTGTTTCTGAACCTTGTCCTGGACTCAAGTGTATGACTGTAGAACATAGGCAACTTGTAAGTGTATGACTGTAGAACATAGGCAACTTGTAAGTGTATGACTGTAGAACATAGGCAACTTGTAAGTGTATGACTGTAGAACATAGGCAACTTGTAAGTGTATGACTGTAGAACATAGGCAACTTGTAAGTGTATGACTGTAGAACATAGGCAACTTGTAAGTGTATGACTGTAGAACATAGGCAACTTGTAAGTGTATGACTGTAGAACATAGGCAACTTGTAAGTGTATGACTGTAGAACATAGGCAACTTGTAAGTGTATGACTGTAGAACATAGGCAACTTGTAAGTGTATGACTGTAGAACATAGGCAACTTGTAAGTGTATGACTGTAGAACATAGGCAACTTGTAAGTGTATGACTGTAGAACATAGGCAACTTGTAAGTGTATGACTGTAGAACATAGGCAACTTGTAAGTGTATGACTGTTTGTTTTAAAGAGACATGTTTTGCGCACTGGCACACACATTAGTGTTGAACAGTATGTTGACAGAGAATAGATGGATAATGGCATTTAAAAGAGAGAGAGAGAGAGAGAGAGAGAGAGAGAGAGAGAGAGAGAGAGAGAGAGAGAGAGAGAGAGAGAGAGATTAATAATATTTAGACCATTTAAGAAGCTGCGTGGGATTTCAAAAGATAAGATTTGATATGAGTTGGTCGAGTTCTCATCTTCCATTATTAAAAAAGATAAAAAGAATAAATTAATGTACAACCTGTATAAATTGGAAGTTATGTTGAACAACTTGTAAAAAGTCTCCCACGCCTTCAGGTGTATTGGGCATATAGGGCTAGACTTATATCTTATAGACCAATTGGCACTTGATGGGTAATGTGGGCTATCATCACATCGGTCACCTTTACTTTCTAGGACTTAACATGGACCCATTTAAGTAACATGGACCCATTTAAGTAACATGGACCCATTTAAGTAACATGGACCCATTTAAGTAACATGGTACCCATTTAAGTAACATGGGACCCATTTAAATAACACGGGACCCATTTAAGTAACATGGACCCATTTAAGTTACACGGGACCCATTTAAGTAACACGGGACCCATTTATGTAACATGGACCCATTTAAGTAACATGGTACCCATTTAAGTAACATGGTACCCATTTAAGTAACATGGTACCCATTTAAGTAACATGGACCCATTTAAGTAACATGGTACCCATTTAAGTAACATGGGACCCATTTAAATAACACGGGACCCATTTAAGTAACACGGGACCCATTTAAGTTACACGGGACCCATTTAAGTAACATGGTACCCATTTAAGTAACATGGACCCATTTAAGTAACATGGACCCATTTAAGTAACATGGACCCATTTAAGTAACATGGTACCCATTTAAGTAACACGGGACCCATTTAAGTAACATGGACCCATTTAAGTAACATGGTACCCATTTAAGTAACATGGTACCCATTTAAGTAACATGGTACCCATTTAAGTAACATGGTACCCATTTAAGTAACATGGAACCCATTTAAGTAACACGGGACCCATTTAAGTAACATGGACCCATTTAAGTAACATGGACCCATTTAAGTAACATGGTACCCATTTAAGTAACATGGACCCATTTAAGTAACATGGACCCATTTAAGTAACATGGACCCATTTAAGTAACATGGACCCATTTAAGTAACATGGTACCCATTTAAGTAACATGGTACCCATTTAAGTAACATGGTACCCATTTAAGTAACATGGTACCCATTTAAGTAACACGGGACCCATTTATGTAACATGGACCCATTTAAGTAACATGGTACCCATTTAAGTAACATGGTACCCATTTAAGTAACATGGTACCCATTTAAGTAACATGGACCCATTTAAGTAACATGGTACCCATTTAAGTAACATGGGACCCATTTAAATAACACGGGACCCATTTAAGTAACACGGGACCCATTTAAGTTACACGGGACCCATTTAAGTAACATGGTACCCATTTAAGTAACATGGACCCATTTAAGTAACATGGACCCATTTAAGTAACATGGTACCCATTTAAGTAACACGGGACCCATTTAAGTAACATGGACCCATTTAAGTAACATGGTACCCATTTAAGTAACATGGTACCCATTTAAGTAACATGGTACCCATTTAAGTAACATGGTACCCATTTAAGTAACATGGAACCCATTTAAGTAACATGGAACCCATTTAAGTAACACGGGACCCATTTAAGTAACATGGACCCATTTAAGTAACATGGTACCCATTTAAGTAACATGGTACCCATTTAAGTAACATGGTACCCATTTAAGTAACATGGTACCCATTTAAGTAACATGGTACCCATTTAAAACTGGGTCGAACTGCGAGCCAGGGTCATTTTGGAAAAGTTTTCCCGCTTCGTCTGGGCCTGAACCCATGACCTTCAGATCCATAGGCGAGCATCTAGCTGCTACACCATGGTGGCTCCCTCAACAACTTGTACAACCTGTATTGTTCAGCTTCTTGTCTGCCATCACTGTCACCATTCACTTTTGTCCTTAAGTGCTATGCAGAGAAAAAGTTGATGGTCCAGCACTCAATAGATGGCGCTGACTGTTGTTATTCCATGTGGTTATATAATGTCTTCTTGTCATCAGTATATCTTCTCCTTCAGTTTCTGTCTTGCTTTCACGTCAGATCTCCCCCATGTGGGTTCTGGGGCCCCATTGTGGGAAAAACAAGAATAGACCCACTGCCTCCCCAAAAGCATGTCGTAAGAGTCGACTAATTGGGGAGCTTCCTTTGAAGTCGGAGTGCATCTGCCTGAGAGGCAAGGAACCAGCAGTCTGCATTCAATTAAATCAGAACTGTAAAACTGATGCACACGCAACACTCAGGTTCTGGAGCAGGACTGCAGTCCAGAAGTGGACGAACAACCAGAACTTTACACCAGAGAAGAAGAAGACATCAGATCTTTTTTAGGTGTAGAACCTGTGTTGGTAGTTAGTCTGTATAGTTGAGTAATCAAGTAGTAGCATACTGTGTGATGGAAAACATGGTATACCTCTTTTTAAACCTACATCATCTTTGTTTCTACAGTGCTTTGCAGGACCTAAGTTTAGCATCATCCGGCAGCCCACTGGGCAGTCTGACCAGCAGCCAGGACTCTTTGCATAAACAGCATCATCAGAACACCAAGAAGAAAGGCATTAAAAGTTCACTAGGCAGATTTTTTTCCAAGAAGGATAAACAGAAGCCAAAGGAATATCTAGCGAGGGAAATGGCCTCAGGTTGGTTGAAACATGTATCCAGCAGCTGCTGCTTTTTAATTACTGATGCTCATATTTTTGTGTGTTTGTTTGGGTGCTGTTTCCACAGTGGAAGTTAGCACTATCTTTCTGAAAATTATTTTGCTGAGGCATCCAGTCTCTTGCAAGGTGTGACTCGCACCACTGTCAGGGGGGGAGGGGGGGGGGGGGTGTCCCATTCTGAACCACCTTTCACTGAAATTGAACCCTCTTACATCAAGGAGATTTTTATTTGTGTGTGTGGGGGTCCTGTCTCTACAATTAAAGCTGTATGCGCTGGAAATCTGCTCCACTGCTGTCTTCACATTTTATGCGCTGAGGCCCCAAATCTTGTGTTTGTGTGTGTGCAGTATGACTCATGCATTGTTGCCTAACAGCTGCAGTGAAGGCCTTTTTCTGTCACCCAGCCACTGAGTGGAGTGTGTGGTGCAACATGCTATAGTTCCTTCACCTAGCCACTGAGTTGAGTGTGTGGTGCAACATGCTATAGTTCCTTCACCCAGCCACTGAGTTGAGTGTGTGGTGCAACATGCTATAGTTCCTTCACCCAGCCACTGAGTTGAGTGTGTGGTGCAACATGCTATAGTTCCTTCACCCAGCCACTGAGTTGAGTGTATGGTTCAACATGCTATAGTTCCTTCACCCAGCCACTGAGTTGAGTGCATGGTGCAACATGCTATAGTTCCTTCACCCAGCCACTGAGTGGAGTGCATGGTGCAACATGCTATAGTTCCTTCACCCAGCCACTGAGTTGAGTGTATGATGCAACATGCTATAGTTCCTTCACCCAGCCACTGAGTGGAGTGCATGGTGCAACATGCTATAGTTCCTTCACCCAGCCACTGAGTGGAGTGCATGGTGCAACATGCTATAGTTCCTTCACCCAGCCACTGAGTGGAGTGTATGGTGCAACATGCTATAGTTCCTTCACCCAGCCACTGAGTGGAGTGTATGATGCAACATGCTATAGTTCCTTCACCCAGCCACTGAGTGGAGTGTATGGTGCAACATGCTATAGTTCCTTCACCTAGCCACTGAGTGGAGTGTGTGGTGCAACATGCTATTGTTCCTTCACCTAGCCACTGAGTTGAGTGTGAACTTGTGAAGTTGGAACTGCGATTGACTGGCAACTGATTTATTTATTACTTTTTAAAATTAAAAATTCAGATTCATTTTCATCCTGGTTGTGGTTGTTCTCTCATCATCTCGTGCAAGGCAGATAGATGACTGGTGTGTTGACCACATATGACCACTGAACAGATTGGGCCACCTCTGTGATGAAGGTTGGCTGCAATGTATCCACCGCTGACCATGCGAACATCTTTTGTGTGAAGCCCCAATCTTCTTCGTGGTGCCACTCCTGTGTCACTCTCCTGAAAGCCATGAGAACTGTCAGTTTGTAAAACTACCCACCCCGGGAACTGAACCCTTGTAAATGCACATCAAACTACAGAGGCAACGTGAACACTGCTGACATGCCAGTAGTGTCTTTAAATTTTGCCCAGAAGTGTTCTTCAACCTGTGGGCTGTAAACAAGTCCAGATGGGCTGGCAAATTTTTTAAAAAACCTAATCGTCTTAACAGGTTAATGTGGGTAGTTTTTGCTTTCTTGCAGTCTGTAGGGTGAAACAGGCACAAATCTCAAAACCTGTTGAGCACATAGACTTTCTAACTTTTGAGCAGCAGCAAATGTCGCATTGATAAAATTTTTTATTTTATGACATCGTATTAAGAAATACTATTATTGATATCTACATTTGGTTTTTGTTTCTGTATTTGGTTAGCGGTCAAGTTGGCCGTGCAACAGGTTCCTGTGTTTTGTTGGGCCAAGGGTTTAAAAAAGTATAGACATACTGGCTTAGAAATTCATATACCTAGGTCACACCTATATGAGATGAGGTGACTAGTTGGTGATAAACCATATTGTATGATTGTGCTTCAGGAAACTACCTTGATGGTGGTGATAACAGCGGCTCGGAGATGACCATGGCTCTTGGCCAGTCAGATTTTGACCGCAGGAAAAAGAAAAAGTAAGCCTGTATGTAATTAGTTAAAGGTTAGTTGCATGTTCTCTTAAAGGGTATCACAAACCAACCCTAGCTGTTTGTTGTGTTACACGTTAAGAATCTTGCAGTTGCTTTCTGAAAGATGGGACTACAGTCAAGATCCCACAAATGAGGAGAATATTAATGATGGAACTGTAGTCCGAATCCAAATATGGATGAGAAGAATATTAATGACGGAGCTGTAGTCCGAATCCAAATAAGGATGAGGAGAATATTAATGACGGAGCTGTAGTCGGAATCCAAATAAGGATGAGGAGAATATTAATGATGGAACTGTAGTCCGAATCCAGATAAGGATGAGGAGAATATTAATGATGGAACTGTATCCGAATCCAGATAAGGATGAGGAGAATATTAATGACGGAACTGTAGTCCGAATCCAGATAAGGATGAGGAGAATATTAATGACGGAACTGTAGTCCGAATCCAGATAAGGATGAGGAGAATATTAATGACGGAACTGTAGTCCGAATCCAGATAAGGATGAGGAGAATATTAATGATGGAACTGTAGTCCGAATCCAAATAAGGATGAGGAGAATATTAATGACGGAACTGTAGTCCGAATCCAGATAAGGATGAGGAGAATATTAATGACGGAACTGTAGTCCGAATCCAGATAAGGATGAGGAGAATATTAATGACGGAACTGTAGTCCGAATCCAAATAAGGAAAATATTAATAATGGGACTCTGGTCAAGAACACAATAATAATGAAACTTTGAATGATGGGTCTGTAGTACAGACCACACTAATAAGGAAAACATTAATGACAGAAAAAGTCCAGCTCCACCAGGAAGCGAACCCACAACCTTCCAATCCGCAGGCAGGCGTCTAGCCACCAACATCACTGCGACTCCCTATACTAATAAATAAGAGATTAATAATGTACTCTAGATAAAAACACTTATTGATTGGGGAGGGGGGGGGGGGGGGGGGGGTCACATCACTGTTGAGCACATAACTGGCATGATGTTGAGCAAATCGTCGGCATGAGCACATCACTCATCGAGTGCTGATTGGTCTATATATAAAATATAGGTCTGCCCCTAGATTTTCAATACACCTGAAGGGTCTTTGACTTTATTTAGGAAAGGTCTAAGGTTAAAGACTACCATTAAAGGAGAAGCTGAGAGCATATAGATTGCCACTTGTAACCATGGTATGTCACTGTCCTACACACATTGAACTTTACATGCCGCAATCCTTGCTAGATCTACAGTGATATTTTCTGTTGACATGTTTGTTTTCTCCCATTAGGCATGAACTGCTGGAAGAGGCTATGAAAGCCAGCACTCCATTTGCTTTATGGAATGGCCCTACTGTTGTAGCTTGGCTAGAGGTGAGAGAAGTGGTTGTTGAAATATAGTGTTGTAGCTTGGCTAGAGGTGAGAAAAGTGGTTGTTGAAATATAGTGTTGTAGCTTGGCTAGAGGTGAGAGAAGTGGTTATTGAAATATAGTGTTGTAGCTTGGCTAGAGGTGAGAGAAGTGGTTGTTGAAATATAGTTTTATAGCTTGGCTAGAGGTGAGAGAAGTGGTTGTTGAAATAGTGTTGTAGCTTGGGTAGAGGTGAGAGAAGTAGTTGTTGAAATATAGTGTTGTAGCTTGGGTAGAGGTGAGAGAAGTGGTTGTTGAAATACAGTGTTATAGCTTGGCTAGAGGTGAGAGAAGTAGTTGTTGAAATATAGGGTTGTAGATTGGCTAGAGGTGAGAGAAGTGGTTGTTGAAATATAGTTTTATAGCTTGGGTAGAGTTGAGAGAAGTGGTTGTTGAAATATAGTGTTGTAACTTGGCTAGAGGTGAGAGAAGTGGTTGTTGAAATATACTGTTATAGCTTGGGTAGAGGTGAGAGAAGTAGTTGTTGAAATATAGTGTTGTAGCTTGGCTAGAGGTGAGGGAAGTGGTTGTTGAAATATACTGTTGTAGCTTGGCTAGAGGTGAGAGAAGTGGTTGTTAAAATATAGTGTTGTAGTTTGGCTAGAGGTGAGGGAAGTGGTTGTTGAAATATACTGTTGTAGCTTGGCTAGAGGTGAGAGAGGTGGTTGTTGAAATATAGTGTTGTAGTTTGGCTAGAGGTGAGGGAAGTGGTTGTTGAAATATACTGTTGTAGCTTGGCTAGAGGTGAGAGAGGTGGTTGTTGAAATATAGTGTTGTAGCTTGGCTAGAGGTGAGAGAAGTGGTTGTTGAAATATAGTGTTATAGCTTGGCTAGAGGTGAGAGAAGTAGTTGTTGAAATATAGTGTTATAGCTTGGCTAGAGGTGAGGGAAGTGGTTGTTGAAATATACTTTTGTAGCTTGGCTAGAGTTGAGAGAAGTAGTTTTTGAAATATACTGTTGTAGCTTGGCTAGAGGTGAAAAAAAGTGGTTGTTGAAATATAGTGTTGTAGCTTAGCTAGAGGTGAGGGAAGTGGTTGTTGAAATATACTGTTGTAGCTTGACTAGAGGTGAGAGAAGTAGTTGTTGAAATATAGTTTTATAGCTTGGGTAGAGTTGAGAGAAGTGGTTGTTGAAATATAGTGTGATAGCTTGGCTAGAGGTGAGAGAGGTGGTTGTTGAAATATAGTGTTGTAGCTTGGCTAGAGGTGAGAGAAGTGGTTGTTGAAATATAGTGTTGTAGCTTGGCTAGAGGTGAGAGAAGTAGTTGTTAAAATATAGTGTTATAGCTTGGCTAGAGTTGAGAAAAGTGGTTGTTGAAAAATAGTGTGATAACCTAAACAGTGATAACTAGAAATTGATGTTGCAGAATCTTTAAAATGCAAGTGAAAGATGCGTTTAAGAATGTATAGATGGGCTTCAGGGGGCAGTCATGTCTGGCCACAGGCTTAGCAAGAGATTATATTCTTAGATTATCTCACAAAAATATTGTGTTACGAGGATATCTTGGTGATGTTTTTCGTGTGGAAATCACACAAAATTTCCTTTACTGTCATAATGAAAAACTAATGAAAAACATATCAGTGTTGGCAAAAACTTGGACCTCGCACATGCAAATTAAACACTCAAGACAGCCATCAGATGTGCCAACAAAATATGTGTGGGAGCGGTTGGGTTGACTGTTGTTGTTGTAAGTTGTTACAGATTCAAATAAATGTTGTTTTTCATATGAACAGCTCTGGGTTGGTATGCCAGCTTGGTACGTGGCAGCCTGCAGGGCCAATGTCAAAAGTGGAGCCATCATGTCAGCCTTGTCAGATACAGAAATTCAGCGTGAGATAGGGATTAGCAACCCTCTCCACAGGTTGAAGTTACGCTTGGCTATACAAGAGATGGTTTCATTGACGAGCCCATCTGCTCCAAAAACTTCCAGAACAGTAAGTAACCATGGTACTGATGTAATCTCGTGTTTTTTTTTTTCTCAACCTGGTTATTCTGCAAAAAACTTCCAGAACAGTAATCGTAGTTCTCTCTCTACTGGTGTAGGCTGTCATTTCTCTTCTCAGCCTGAACACTCTACTGGTTATTCTCCACACACAAAAACTCCGGAACAATAACTAGCTTCTTCTTTTTCTTTCGTTCGCCTGAAATAAGTTGTCTATATCAGCAGTTTTGTCTCTTGTATAAATTTCACTGTCGTTGTTAGTTCATTCAGTGGTCTATAGAGTTTACGTTCCATTGTTCTTTCTGGCCAAAATGTTTGCCCTAATGTGTCAAATTCGGTGTAGTCCTGGAGTACATGCTCTGCTGTCTGGGGCACCTTTCCACAGGTGCACGTGGCTGATACACCTATCTTGAATTTTGTGTACATGTGGTTACGTGAGAAGGACCTCCAGTAATTTGGGTTGGGCCTCTTCGAGGCAGAGGGCCCGGCACTGAGAGTCCATCACAGGGCGAGCACCATAACGTTTTGCTGATTTAGACATATTTCCATGGCGTGTGTGCGTGGCATCCTGATTGCTGTGGTGTGCCTCTTGGCTGGTTGCCTCCGACTTCAGCACCTTGTTTTGCTAGGGTAGACTGATCATACTCGAGGAGAGTAGGCTCATCCATTTGTCTTTATCTCGTTTGTTGTCCCAGCGCAGAGTTTCAGTATTGATGGTATCGGTCACAATCTGGTTATATGTCCGTCTTGCCTTTCCTCTGAGTGTAGTGAGCCGGCTAGATCCTCTGGTTATGCCCAGGTGGCTCATTCTCTCCAGGCCATAAGAATCTTGTTTCTCTACTGATTCAGTTGCTTGTTCCCATAGGGCCTTGACCACATCTGTCTTGTCATGAATCAATTCACCACCCAGTGGTGCAGATCCAGGCAAGCTGTCTGCCTGTTCATGACCCACTACTATGATTGTAATGTTGAGTTTGGATATAGTCACAGCTGTCTATGATATTGATTGTAATGTTGAGCTGGGATGTACCATATTATTTAGTTTAAAATTGGAAGATCCAAAGTATGCTCACTACCCGTGACCTTCCCAGTGAAGCTTGCCACTCTGCTCGAAGCAGTCCTGTCTTCACCTTTCTCAGCTTGCATTCAGAGTCTGTTACAATTACAACATGTGTATGCATCTTGTTCTCTAGCCACTGGAGAGCTGCAGTTACCACCGCCTCCACCTCCAATCTCATGCTAGATGTTGTGATGTCCTATTCTAGGCTGTCTTGTACTAAAGATTTTCCATTGGCTTTCGTACAAACCCCCCAGGCACTTCTCTTTCCTCTCACCACCTAATTTTGATATTGATACCGAATAAACTGAAGACTTGGAACAGATGTTAAATGGGATGAATTTAGCAACAAGGAAGAAATGAGAGAGATGTCTGGACAGCTACTGGTGTCAACAACAGTAAATGTCTGATTGTATATCCGTAAAATGGTATATATAATGGTTTATAATGTGTCTGAATATAGTTTCTTGCTCTATTGTGTCTGTTATATTGTTACTAGGGATTTATTTTTTTATATATTATTAATTTTTTTTTTAAATAATAATATTTGTGTTTGTGTGTGTAGGGTTGCAGGCCTGTTTGCGTGTGTGATGTGCTCTTGTGGTAAACTAGTTACATATGTATTGATTCATGGCTTTTGAAACTCTATGAAATTATTTGTTCTAAAAACTCTTTGAAGCTGGGAAGGCCAACTCAGGCAACAAATGCCTTGGATAAACACAGAACTCTTTAAAGTATCCCATCTCTGTATGGGTTCCGGGCCCTATTTTGAGGGGGGGGGGAGGGGGGATAGACCTACTGTGCTCCCCCCTTCCACCCCCCCCCCCTTCCCTTTAACAAACACGTTGGAACAGATCAGATGTGTTGGACCGAAAGGTGTACTTATTACAGCCTAGACGCAAAACCAACACATCATATCAGCCACTTTTTGAAGGGCAGAAGTTGCTTGATAGTCATATTATGATTCTTGCAGCCTTTCTAAAGTCATCATGTCTGACCACATTCTGGAGGGTCCAAACAGATATAAATGTGACATGAGTGGATACTGAGCATCTGCATGACATCATTACAGGGTCTCAGTAGCATAAAATGTCCGGGATAAGTAGGAGTTCGAGGGAATAAAATACATGTTTTGGCTAAAAAAAATTATATACTCCTTGTACTGGACTCAGGAGACATTCTGAAGACCATTTATGAATGAAGGCTTGTGGAAGACGAAAGTTCGATGAAATAATCACTGTAAGAATGTATGAATTAGGAATTCAGTGTGGATCCAACAAGAAAGGATGTATAAGAGAAAGAGGACTACATGTTTGTATAATCAGTGTTCTATAAGAACAGTTAGTATGTACTCCATACGAAATTAGCTGTGGGAGACAGAGCATCTGTGGATATGCCCAGTGGGCTATATTGTCATTTTTTTTCCAATCAATAATCAGTATTGCCAATCACTTTTGATACAGATGCTTTTCTGTGCCATTATTTCAGATATTGATCAACTATATAATGGTTGTTTTTTTCTTCAGACCTTAGCATTTGGTGACATGAACCATGAGTGGATAGGAAAAGAGTGGCTGCCCAGTTTGGGTCTGCCGCAGTACCGCAGCCACTTCATGGAGTGTCTGGTGGATGCTCGTATGTTAGATCATTTAACCAAGAAGGACCTCAGGGGACAGCTGAAGATGGTTGACAGCTTTCACCGGTGGGTTTGTGTTCTCTCTAATCTATTACATTTTTGTCACAAGAGTTGCAATTTTTGACTGACTGATTTTCTACCCCACCAGGACATCACACTGAGTGATAAACACCCTGCGACACAAAGTGCCACCATTTTGATGAGGATCACCCGTAGAGAGGTCCCTGAAACCCTGTTCCACCATTAGGTTATATTATGGCCCCTGGGAACAACCAGGGTGGGGCTTCAAAATAATGAAAAATTCTTTCTGCACGGACAGTCACTTATGAAAGTGATCCTTAGGGGAAAACTAAACTAAAGATTGAGGGGAGGAGTTGTGGTGGTGGTTGGAAGAGAAGATAGGCTGACTAATATTTTGCTGAATGTCCAACATTCCTTTCCATACTTTGGGGAGCACGCGCATGTATGTGTGTGTCTTTGCGGTGAAATGGTCAAGTCGTTTGCCTCATACTCTGAAGTTAAGTTCATCAGTGCAATTCTTATGGAAATCCCTGGGTATTGTCCCTTGAGCTACAGAGTTCGTGTTCTGTGTGACGCTCTCGGCAGACAGCAAGCTGTTCTGAGGAGAGAGACTGAGCTTAAAGTGATAAAACCCTTGCAGTGAAGTCGATCCTCCCACCTTTACATTTAGTTTTATGTGTCTGTTATATATATATATATATATAAAATATAGGTGATTAATGAGAACATCATGGACAGATAATAATAGTAATGAAGATGTCAAGAAATTATTTTGGGAAAAGAACTGGTCACCTACTTCAAAAAAGAGACAGTCAGCTTTTTTTTGCTCACATCATGAGAAGGAAAAAACTGGAAACCTAATGATAGCAGAACAAGTTGTTGGGGGAGTGGGGAAGAAGACCATAAGAAATTTAAGTACTTTTCTTTTAGTAGTTCACTCCATCTCACAGACTTTGAGATTTCGTGGGAATTTCCTGGGAACAGTATTATGGGGGGTGGGTTTTAGTGTTAGTTCTAGTCAGTGTTCAGTTTGTATGTGGCTAGCCCACAAAGACAATCAGGAAAGGCTGGTGACTATCGGGAAAGACCTTTTGACACCTATGGAAAGACTGGCCCCCTGGTATTGCCGGGGGGATAACTGACATCTGGAGACAGATGCCGACTGTGGACCGGGTTGATCACCCCTAGCACAGTATAATACCTCTGATTTCGAAACCACAACCCGATAACATCCGGTAATACGTGCAGCAGGAGAAACCAACCCTGAGCCTCATGAACTCAGGTGGGCCCACTCTCTGAAAATGTCTAGAGCTCGTGGGCCGAAACATTTGTCGACGAGAGGTTACTTCTACTGACGATTGGTAGACTCCTGCTGTACATGCTCCCCTGTGGAGTTTCTTCTTATTTGCACCTCAACACCCCTATACTATTGGACTTTCCCAATTTTTGCATAAACGACCTTTGCTGTTTGGGTGACTGCAGCCTTAAAAAAACACTATGAATTATCATAGGATGGGAGGTTGTTGGTGTGATGTTAACCAAACCACCCATCAAATCCCAGTTGATATATATATTTTTAAAAAAGGTTCTAGCCCCATATAGAGCAACTCGTGTTGGTTTTGTCAGTGTTAGTGAGTGCCGACCAATCAGGAAGCAATCGCAGACTGCTGAATGTAACATTGCCTAGTGACATCACAAACAGAACAGAAGTAAAAAAAACATGGTGGCGCTGGTTCTGCAACTGTACATAAAGGATGTGCAAATAACTTGACTAGCTCCGTAAAGTTAATACATCAGTCATGTGAGAAGGCTCCCTTACTAACTTTCCGTTTGTTCGGCTAACATAGCTTCAGGTGTTCCTCACTGTGAGAACATTGAAGAATTGGTGAAAAAGATCTAGGGGTCTCCTTAGCTAAGTAGTGAAGCAGTTTACTTCATTGGTATATTACTTCCTGTCGTTTTTAGGATGGAATTTTTCGTTATTTGAAGCCCTACTCTGGCTCTTGCCAGGGGCCGCAATATATCCTGGCCATAATTATGGCCTAAAGGCTGAACACGTTTTCTGGGACCTCTCCACGGGTGATCTTCACCCACATGGTGGCACATTGTGTCATCGGGTGTTGATCGCTTGTGTGATGTCCTGGTGGGGTAAAAGAAGATTGAAGATAGACTTCACTCGTGGATCCATGTCATGGCTATGTTGTGTTCAGTAGTGTAAGTTTTTCAGACATCTATGTGGATCATTGCTGCAGCTTTGGAGTTTGTGCTTTGTGCAGCGCTCTCAACAGGCAGCTAACCCTTCTGCGGAGAAAGACCAAGCCATATTGGATAACCTGGGGCAGTGAGGTCAATTCTGTCATTTTAACGTTTTCTTTTAATTTCTTATTTATTTTCACAGTAACTTTATGAATGATTTCTACTTGTTTATCTTCATTTAGGACAAGCTTACAATAAGTAAGCATTAACATGCTATGAAGAGAGTTACATATTATGATAAGATGTTAGAATTAGAACGACGACATATTAAGAAGAGATTTTAGACTGAAGTGAAAGGTTGGTGCCGAGTTAAGTTTTCTCATACATATTTTGTTAGCCAGTGTGACATATTATTGTTTTTTGAATTAATGATCTAGATGTTACATATGAGTAAGCCACAATTTGTCACATTAAGAAGCCATATTTTGCTTTATAACGTCAGATGCATACAAACAGAATTAATATAAGCCAGCATTACGTATTAGTACACAGAATGTTACATATTAGTAAGCCAGTGCGCAGCATACGAAGTCCAGTGTTCTAATGTTTTACTGCAGCAGTTTTGAACTTATCAGCTGTTTTTTTTCATATAAAAAGCCAGGGATTAACAGCACCGGGTTCATAAACATTCGTAAAGATGATGTTAGTTGTGTATGCTTTACAGCAGGCATATCAGACTTAAGTAAGCCAGATGCTACCCATTAAGTAAGCCAGATTTTACATATTAAGTAAGCCAGATTTTACATATTACCTGTGGCCTGCTGACAGACAAATTATTTAAGCAGATAATCATTTATTAAGCCGATTTTACATATTATAAGCCAGATTTTCGTGCGTGGCCCTCGTTACGACACAAGCCAGATTTTACATATTAAGTAAGCCAGACCGTTTGTATTATATGCCAGCTTTATATATTAAGTAAGCCAGACATCAGCATATTTTTGTAAGCAATTTTACATATTAAGTAAGCCAGTTTTACGATCTGTAAAATGTATGTGCACTCAAGTTCTGGCACAAGACCACAAAGTCTCGATTGCCACTGTTGAAACCAGCAGAGGCGTCTGCAACTCTTCGTTAAACATGCAACTTTAAATAAAAAGTTCTGCAGATCTTGCCTTCTGCAACTCTGCGTTTGGAAAGGCTGGCACCTGATGGAGAAGGTTGGATATTTGTGGCCATTTGAACTCTCTTCATGTCAATGAAGTGTGTATCGCAATCTTGGTGAAACCATTCAGGATGCCTTAAACATAGATGCAGAGAGCATAAAGGTGTGGGTTCCAGGTTCCCATTTCATGGAAAGGGTGTGGGGGAAGGAATGGAGTCCCAGCTACCCTAAGAAGCTAATGTCAACTAATATTGAGTGTTTCCTTCAAAGATGGAGTGCATCTGCCCGAGAAACATGGAACCAAATTTATGTGTATATTAAGTAAGCCAGATGTTACATATTAAGTAAGCCAGATGTTACATATTAAGTAAGCCAGATGTTACATATTAAGTAAGCCATATTTTACATATTAAGTAAGCCAGATTTTACATATTAAGTAAGCCAGATGTTACATATTAAGTAAGCCAGATTTTACATATTAAGTAAGCCAGATTTTACATATTAAGTAAGCCAGATTTTACATATGAAGTAAGCCAGATTTTTCATATCTGTTAAATGTATGTGCACTCAAGTTCTGGCACAAGACCACAAAGTCTAACACTTGCCACCAGAGTTTACAGCCGGTGAATGTAAGAAGAACATATTTAATGGAGAAGATTGGATAAACATGGATGTTTAAATAAAAAGTATTTGATGGAGATGGTTGGATAAAGGTGGCTAGTTCGAATATATTTGGTGATCAAAATTGGAAAGGCCTGGCACCAAATAGATGGAGAAGGTCTGATATTTGTGGCCATTTGAACTCTCTTGATAGAGAAAATGTGATTAGTGTGTATATTTAGAAAACTCTTGGTGATGGTGATTCTGGGATTCGTAGACAGAGAAGCAGGTTAGCATAAAAGCAGGTTTTTGTTTCTAAACACATGCAGTCAACTCTTGTCCTGGCAGATGTTCTACTGTGGTTTTATGAACGAGTGATCCAGTATAAACACATGCAGATAACTCATACTGTTGTCTTGGCAGATGTTCTTGTGTGGTCTAATGAACGAGTGATTCAGTATAAACACATACAATTAACTGTACTCTTGTCCTGCCAGATGTTCTAGTGTGGTCTAATGAACGAGTGATTCAGTGGGTAATAAGCATCAGCCTCAGAGAATATGCAAGCAGCCTGCAGGAGTCCGGAGTACATGGGGCACTTATAGCTCTAGACGAAAGCTTTGACCACAATAGTATGGCACTTGCCTTACAGATACCAACCCAGAATCAACAGGTAACATGTTTGCTGCTAACTGTGAGTGAATGAATCTTCCCTCCTTGTATGGATTCTGGGGCCCCATTGTGGGGGGGGGGGGGGAATAGAAAGATGTTCCCTAACAAGCATGTCGTAAGAGTCGACTTATTAGGGATGTTTCCTTTGAAGTCAGAGTGCATCTGCCTAAGAGGTGAGGAACCAACATTGTGCATACGAATAAGCCAGATTTGTAATATGGATAAGTGCACAGAACCACACGAATAGACAGACTCACTTAACTGACTTATCCCGAAGCAGCCACATTGATGTCTAGCCTGTGGAATGAAGAGACACTTGTGGCCCCAAGAATAACTAGCCACGGAATGCCAAGAGTTTTAGATGAAAAGAGAATTTTAGATGAAACTGTTGAGAGTTCATTCTTCTAGGTGTTAGGGTTCCCAGGGTGACAATAATGGTTCTCAGAAGACTCTATGTCGTGGACACCTTGGTGATCATGAGAATTGAAGTGCAGCGGTACTGGTTTCAGAGCACAGTTCTGCACATCCAAAAGATGTTGTTTGAACTTGTCAGCCAGTTGTAAACCCGTTTCACCAATGTATTTCATGCTACATCTCTTGCAGTTGATGGCGTAAATGGCATTGCGGCTCGTGCAATAGTATGCCACATGTATGTGGAAATGGGGCATTCAGGAATTCCAGACCTTTCCCTTGGATCGCATATGGACAAGTCTTGCATACAGGTCTATGGAGAAAGACTGTGCCTAAGTGGGGCTCAGACGCAGAACATAACCGACTCTTGACCAGAACGTCCTTGAGGTTACGGTCATGTCTGTAGGCCACTAGAGAAAGATCAGAGAAATTTGCACTGGTGACAGGGTCAGTCCTAAGGATGAGAGATGCATGAGAGGAATATTTTTTTGGCATGGTTATTGTCAGGGTGGTAGGTAAGTATGAGGATAGTTTTGTTATGGTGATGTTTAGGCTTGAAACGAGAGCCTCAGCACAACTGATAGACCGTGATTGGTAAAAGGCAGCAGATAAGACAAGTTTGGGATTACCTCGAAGCCAGAAGAATTCCAGCATTTCCAGGGCCTTATGGTGAAAGTCGTCGTTCTCCTGACACAGTCTGCGGAGGTGTAAAAGCTGGGAGAAAGGAATGGAGCCCTTGCAGGAGGAGAGATGAGAGAATGGGTTGAGAAGAAAAGCATGCCAATCAGTAAGCTTATAGTACACCGAGGTGCTGAGGCCTTCAGAATCCAGGTGACAGTGAGTTCAGGTAAGGGCATATCAGAGATGCCAATACAGTCATCTTGATATCTCATGTACATATCAGGGAGCCTACCAATATATGGTGTTCGAGGTAGCCCATGAAGAGGCAGGCTAGCTAGGTTCCATCTCTGTCCCTGTAGCAATGCCGCTGATCTGGTTGAAATAGTGGCTATTAAACTAGAAAGAGTTGAGAGTGAGCACTAACTCGGCCAGACATATCAAAGTGTGGTGGCTACAGTAGGACTGACTTTGCGATCTAGGTGGAACTACAAAGCCTGCAGACCATCAGAATGTGGAACAGACGTGTAAAGAGAGGTAATATCTAAGGTGAAGATGTGGTAGCTGGAAGAAGAGGTGAGCAGAATCGCTTTAAGACATTCCAGGGCTATTTATTCTCGGGGCCACACATCTCTCTTCATTCCATTGGCAAAAAATATTTAATTCCACTCCAGACATTAATGCTACTCCAAACAGTAGTTAATGTCACACTAACATTAATGCCCAAACAGTAGTTAATGTCACACCAACATTAATGCTGCTCCAAACAGTAGTTAATGTCACACCAACATTAATGCTGCTCCAAACAGTAGTTAATGTCACACCAACATTAATGCTGCTCCAAACAGTAGTTAATGTCACACCAACATTAATGCTGCTCCAAACAGTATTTAATGTCACACCAACATTAATGCTGCTCCAAACAGTAGTTAATGTCACACCAATATTAATGCTGCTCCAAACAGTAGTTAATGTCACACCAGCATTAATGCTACTTCAACCACTAAATCAATTCTATTCCAGACAGTAATGCTACTTCAAAAAGTACATTAATTCTATTCCAAACAGCAGTGCCACTCCAGACTGTAATTAATACTATTCCAGGCAGTAATTCATACAATTAAAATACTCTAAATCTGTAAAGATGTGGAAAACAGGCATGCAGTAAGAAGACCAGATCTGGAAAGTCTAACCGGAGCAACATATGCCAGCAGAAGTTGGATCTGTCAGCTGAAAGGCACAGATATTGCAAAAATGATGCTGTATATAGGGGGTGGCTGCAGTTCCATTCCTTCTGTTGAGCTTTCTAGTCAATTTTTGTGTTACATTAATCATTTCTTGCAGATATTGCAATGTTACATTAATCATTTCTTGCAGATATTGCAATGTTACATTAATCATTTCTTGCAGATATTGCAATGTTACATTGATCATTTCTTGCAGATATTGCAATGTTACATTAATCATATCTTGCAGATATTGCAATGTTACATTAATCATTTCTTGCAGATATTGCAATGTTACATTAATCATATCTTGCAGATATTGCAATGTTACATTAATAATTTCTTGCAGATGTTGCAATGTTACATTAATCATTTCTTGCAGATATTGCAATGTTACATTAATCATTTCTTGCAGATATTGCAATGTTACATTAATCATTTCTTGCAGGTATTGCAACCATGTTGTAAACTGGCACAATGAAATATATGCATCTTTGGATGAATGCAGAAGAAGAAGAAGAAAATATTATGTATGGGTACATATGGACATTACTTAGAAAGGGACTGGAAAATGCAAGGGCAGAATGTATTAAAGACTTACCACAGCTGACTCTGATGGCAGAGATGGCGTTGGGTCCTTTAGTTCTCCAACTTCGGGAACTATATCAGAATACAGTTTTTTTATTGATGCTGTACTTTGTCTTGTGTCTGCAGGCCAGACAAATTCTTGAGCGAGAATTCAACAACTTACTAGCTAAAGGAACAGACAGGCGATTGGATGAGGTATGAGTTCCCTTATCAGTTTCTGCATCATACTATGAACTGAACAACATTAATTGATCTATGTGCTGTTTCAGATAGAGCTCTCAAGGGCATCTTCATCTGCATACGTTAACAAGTTGGCACTTTTGGGCGCCCCCTCCCTCTTTTTTTCTAGTCTGTTGTAAGTCTGAGAGAGAGAGAGAGAGAGTAAACTAATCTCATTTTGCAGTGCTCATGTTTGGCTTTGTTGTGTTAACATAATTAGCTTACTTAAATAGTAAAAGAAACAGGCAGCAAACCTAAACCTATGTCTGTTACCAAAATCAGTCTAATTTTCATCATCTGCTACCTTCCCCTTCTATTTCTCCTGGCATAAACTAACACAAGCTGTCTTTACCCTTCTTCATAATCCCTAGGGACAATAGCAGTATGTTTATTTAATCACTGTAACCCACTTGTTTGACTCATTCTCTTTTTTTTTTTTCTTTCTCCTAGAAGCATCATCATCAACCTGCTGTACCATCTAAATATCCCATAGGCTTGCCATTATTCTTCCAGTCCATTCAACCTTGTGCATTCTTTCTTTATCTTGTATAGAATCCTTCCTGTGTATGTTCCAGGGTTCCATTGTGGGGAACAAAACTTATTGCCCCTTTAACAGGCATCTCATAGGAGGCAACTAATTAGGGGTGTTACCTTCCTAGTTTGACTGCCCCTGCCCAGGAGGCAAGGAACAAACAGTCTGCATACAAATAAGCAGCCAGGTTTGTAAAATGGATGTGCATGCAAAACTCAAGTTCTGGAACAATGATTCCTGTAGGGAACCCAGTTTAGATTGTCCCCTTTCTCATGCAGTAACCCAGTTCGATTATTCCCCTTCTCATGCAGGTAACCTAGTTAGGATTGTCCTTTTCTCATGCAGGTAACCTATTTGGGTTTGTCCCTTTCTCATGTAAGTAATCCAGTTAGGATTGCCCATTTTTCATGCAGGTAACCTATTGGTGTTTGTCCTGTTCTCTTGTTAAATAATCCAGTTTGGATGGTAACTTACTCATAGGTAGCCCAGTTTTCATTGTCCCCTTTCTCAAACAGGTAACCCATTTTGGTTTGTCCCCTTTATGTGTTGACAACCCAGTTGGATTGTTCCTTTCAGATGTGGGTAACCCTATTTGGATTGTTCCCTACTTGTGTAGATAACCCAGTTTGATTGTCATTCACAACAGAAGCTCTGATTCTTTTGCCGTCTGCAGCAGCTATCTCCATGTCTTCCCCATATTGCTAACCTCTGCCTCTAATTCTCATTTCCCTGTGTTTTCAGGTCACTACCAGTTTTTTGTGTGCTACGAGTTCCAGGCGCAGGCTTCCTTTAAAATAGCATGGGGTTCAGCCCATCATTTTTTGCCTCTCGTAATAATGTTATCATCAGGGTTTCCAACATTATGTTTCCTACACATCATCGGCGAAGTATTTTTTACTATGTAATGTTTATTATTGCTGGAATCTCTCTGTCTCTCCTATTTCTTTCTCCCCCCTCCCCCCCTCTTTTTTTCCTCTCGCTTGGGGGGGGGGGTTTACTACTTTTAAGTAAAAAAGCATCAAAATAATCGTTGTTGTGGGGTGTGTGTGTTTGTTGTTGTTTTTGTTACAGAAATATAACATTTTGAGTTTTCATGAATCATGTCATTAACATTTTTCTCTGGCTTAACACTCACTCACTCACCCTAGTGTCATTAGGGGGAGTATCTCTTCCTAATGTCTGGTTTGTTTAGTCTGCCTCATGCTCATGCCGTGCTAACTTGTTACACTTGTTTAAACTCATGTGGTTGGTGGTTGGTAATGTTCATTTTGCATGTCCTATTGGTTTCATTGATGGTCTCTAAAGATGGCCTGCTAGCAGTGATGATGTTTACATTGACAAACCTCAACAGATCTGTCTTCTAGTGTCTGAATTCATTAATAGGACTAGAAGAAAGCAGTGATAGCACATTGACTAGATACTTGCCTGCTGGCCCAAATGTTAGAGTTTGAATCCTCTCAGTAACATTTTTGTAAAAAGAATGGGAAGGGAGTGGGGGAGGGGGGGGGGAATCTTATAAATGACCTGGTCAACCCAACCTAAAATGGGTATCAGAAAATATGCTGGAAGTAAAGGTGGCTGGGGGTGATTTGGTCAACATCATGCCTGTACTTCCCCAAGCATTACTAGCTGGTACCGATTTTAGAACAAGGTCAGTTTGGACCTCTAAATCTGCTACTCTGCAGATTCAAACCCAAAAGGGCTCTTGCTTAGAATGTTGTGTATTCAAGCACGCTGTGGATACATCCTTTCCAGGACATTACTACCTGGCACCTATTTAAGGCTGGGTTTACCTGGCAACAAGGTCAGTTTTCACCCCTACATCTTCTTCGCTGTGGATTCAAACCCCAAGAGGGTTCTTGCTTAGAATATTTTAAATTGATCAAGCACACAGTGGATACATCACTGACTTGCAGGCATTGCTTTCTTACATTGTTTGTTGTCTTCATAAAATTTAATTTTCCTACGCATTTTTTTTAGATTTCACCATTGGCTTCCCCCCTAACATTTTCCTGTCTGTTTATTTTTGCATTTGACATTTGACCTTCATTCTTGCTGTGTCTTGGTCTGTTTATTTCTGCATTTGACGTTTAACCATCATCCTTGCTGTGTCTTATTATGTGGACTTGCCAAGCATACATTAATCAGAGTTCTTACACTGTTTTCCCCCCTTGGCCGTCACAAAGTCTGCTGTGTATGGAGGTGAGAGTAGACTACTCGTCGGCCCCAAAGAGGAGAGACCGTGGTTAGGTAAAGATGTGTTTTCAGCTGTGTCCACATTATGGGCCAGACAGCTTACAGAATAGCTGTCTGTGTGTATATTTTATCTGGCTTTGTGTGTCGCTGTTGCATGCATTGCTTATGTATATCGATGTGATTTATTTCGCACAGCAGGCCAGAAACAAACGCAGATGAGCACAGCTAAAGGTAATGAGTAACCCTGTAGTCTTTCTCCCACTTCGTGGTTGGTTATCATTATAGGCACTTTTCTTTTGAAACAGGCACTATCGTAATTGTTAAGTTTGATAAATTGTATGATATGATCATCAGTAGCGCTAAAGGAAAGGTTCCTGGTGCGATTCAGATCTCATGCCAGGTAACAGTTATAATATACCTCAGGTATATATACCCAGTGTGATTCAGATTTACTAGTATAGTTACCTCGGTGTTGTTCAGATCTGCTATATATATGTATATATATATACATATACACACACACACTTTGTATATGTATATATGTATATGTATCATCCTGTGTGTGCCGTTAAAACATCACATAGGGCTAGCATTCAATTTCTCCACTCCACTGTAAAGCTTGCAACTTTCTTCATTTCTGACATAGAGTTTAGCCCAGCATTTTTTTTTTTCACCTCATAATAATGTTCTTCTTAATGTTTTCCTTGGACGTCGTCTTTTTCTCAGACTGTTTCCCATTTCAGTGCCTGCTTTGTAATTCTCTGCTAATTTCATCTCAGAATATTCCCAATGTGTCTCCACCTTCTTTGTCTTATTGCAGTCAATACAGGTATTTGTCTAGACATTTCTATAATGTCCGCACTCTTTTTTAATTCATCCCATTGTCATGATTTTTCTGAAACATTTCTTTTAAAATTCATTTAATATTCCTTCCACATCTTTGGTGTATCTTCAACTTTCACTGCGTATGTTAGAATTAAAATTAATGTTAGAATTGAAGATTCTTAGGACTTGAAGCTGTATGTATAACTTGGAGCTCCATATTCTGTTAAGGCTTTTAAAGACTGTTAGTGCTTTGTTGATGCCTATCATAATTTCTGTTGTTTTACCTTTTTGAGAATCAGCGCTAGATATAGTTACCTCAATATGATTCAAATGTCACCCCCTCCACCCCTCCCCACACACACACACACACACACACACACGCGCGCGCGCGTGCACGCACACATATATGTATGTGTGTAAGTATATATACATATATGTATGTGTGTAAGTATATATATGTGTGTGTATATATATGTGTGTGTATATATGTATGTGTGTCTATATATGCTAATGTATGTGTGCATGCAAAGATAATTGTTTACCTCAGAGTGCTTATAAACTCAGGGTATATATCGTTACTTGAAGTCTGATTAAAATCTGCTGGGTATAGTTACGTCAGTATGATTGAAATCTACAGTATATAAAGTTATCTTAATATGATTAAAACCTCCTGATAGATATCATTGCCTCAGTAGGATTGAAATCTCTAACTAGGTATAGTTTCTTCAGTATAGTTTAGATCTCATGTTAGATCTAGTTACCCCAGTATGATTCTAATCGCGCATACACCTATCTCTGTGCAGTTCAAATCTCACACAGTTATAATTACAATGTGATAAACAAATCTCTCATATAATTATCTCTGTGCAGTTCAAATCTCACACAGTTATAATTACAATGTGATAAACAAATCTCTCATATAATTATCTCTGTGCAGTTCAAATCTCACACAGTTATAATTACAATGTGATAAACAAATCTCACATACACCTATCTCTGTGCAGTTCAAATCTCACACAGTTATAATTACAATGTGATAAACAAATCTCACATACACCTATCTCTGTGCAGTTCAAATCTCACACAGTTATAATTACAATGTGATAAACAAATCTCTCATATAATTACCTCAGTGCAGTTCAAATCTCACGCTAGAAAATGTGATTCAGTATGATTCAAATCTCACGCTAGATAATATGATTCAGTATGATTCAAATCTCACGCTAGATAATATGATTCAGTATGATTCAAATCTCACGCTAGATAATATGATTCAGTATGATTCAAATCTCACGCTAGATAATATGATTCAGTATGATTCAAATCTCACGCTAGATAATATGATTCAGTATGATTCAAATGTCACATATATTGAAAGTGATTCAAATTTCCTGCCCGATTCGGTTACCCTGGTGCTTTTCAAATCACACGCTGAATTCATAAATTTCTGTGTGATTAAATCTTGTGCTACATTCAGTTACCCTGCGGCTTTTCAAATCACCTGATGGATACAGCAGTTTTTGTATGATTCAAATCTTATGCTAGATTTGATTATCCTTGTGTTTTTCACACCACATGCTGGATTCATCAATTTCTGCATGATTCAAAATCTAATACTAGATTCGATTGCCCTATGACTTTTCAAACCACATGCTGGATTCAACAGTTTCTGTGTGATTCAGATCCCATGCTAGATTCAGGTGTCTTGGTTTTGGTACAGATATGACAACAATGGAATTGATTGTTGTTCACCATAGCCATTTTGCTCACAAGACAAACACTTTTTTTTTAATAGTAAATATATTTCTATCCTGGCCTTCTAAATCCTAAACAGGCACAAACTTAATAAAAATACTGTTAATGAAACCTGACACTAGATGTTGTTTAGTGAAAAGATAATGGCTGCAGAAAAATCTGCTATGTTATGACACTTGATGTCACTGCACATTGGCATTTCATTGCTTATTTATCTCTCAGTGCAGCAACCATATGATTGTAATATGTAAAAACAGATTTTATTTACAAGATAATGTGCCTAAATCAGGTTGCATGCACAGATAATATGCCAAATCAGATTTTTATGCACAGGATAATATGCCAGATAAGATTTTATTTACAGGATAATATGCCAGATAAGATTTTATTTACAGGATAATATGCCAAATGGGGTTGCATGCACAGATAATATGCCAAATCATATTTTATGCACAGGATAATGTCCCAGATGAGATTCTATTTACAGGATAATATGCCCAAATCATATTTCCTCACACAGGATAATACACCAGATCAGTTTTTCTTAGTGGTCATTAGTTATCACATTACTAAGTAACCTAAAGCTGGCAGTAGAAGCAAGATAATATAACACACAGATAGCAAAAGAACACTTTTCATAACTTCGTGACAATTAAATGACTGTTTTGTGCCCATTTCCTCATCATTTTTGATGTTTTTGAAATTAAATATTGATCTTCCATCCACTGTAAGTGCACACCCACTTATAGTTTAAAAATATCCCCTTATTATCTCATTAAAAAAAAAAAAATCAAAATCCCCATCTTTGAAAAAAAAAAAAAAGTTTCCTTTTATACGTTGGCCCCTAATTGTGGGCCTTTTTTGTTTCCCGCCCCTTAATATTTTTCTAACTTTGCTATTATTCTGTGTGTTCATTTAAAATAAAAAAAAAATCAAAATCCCCATTTGATTTCTGCTAACATTGTTAAATTTGATAAAGGGTGATGGGATACAACATTTGGCGTTTACACTCAACATCATTCTGTATTTACACCAGTATACCTAACACTGTTCGGTATTTACACCAGTATTTTTGTATTTACCCAGACATCCTTTTTACACCAGTATACAACATTTGGTTTCACCATCATTCTGTATTTACACCAGTATTTTTGGCGTTTCCTCACCTTCTTATTTACACCAGTATACAACATTTGGCGTTTACACTCAACATCATTCTGTATTTACACCAGTATACAACATTTGATATTTATACTCAGGGTCAACCCCCAACCTGGTCCTCCAGGTTGGGGGTTGAAGCGTGGGGCCGACACCCCCACCTTCGTAAAACGTTAGCTCGTCACGAAACAAAAATCTAAGCCTCGATTTTGGATGGATTTAAACAAATGGTCGTAGACCACGAGGCAGACCAAAAAACGATGGAGAGATAATGTCCAGACAGACCTGCAAACACTTGGTGTCACCAACTGGAAAGAGAAGGCCAACCAGAGAGATGAATGGAGAGTGATATCTGCTGTAATGCACCTCAAGGGCTTGGAATGCTGAAGATGAAGAAAGTCTCTGTATTTACACCAGTATACACCATTTGGTGTTTACACTCAATGTCTTTCTGTTTTTACACCAGTATAGAATATTTGGTATTTATACTCAGAAACATCAGTCTTATTGGTATTTAACTCAGTGTCATTCTGTATTTACACAGTATGGAACATTTGGTATTTACTCAGTGTCATTTGGCCCGTTTACACAGTATGGAACATTTTGTATTTATACTCAGTGTCATTCTGTATTTACACCAGTATAGAACATTTGGTATTTTATACAACATTCTGTATTTACATGGAACATTTGGTACAGTGTCATTCTGTATTTACACCAGTATACATTTGGTAATACTCAGTGTCATTTGTATTTACACCAGTATGGAACATTTGGTTAGTGTCATTCTGTATTTTACACCAGTATAGAACCCTCAGTGTCATTCTGTATTTACTCCAGTATAGAACATTTGGGGTTTATACTCAGTGTCTTTCTGTATTTACACCAGAATGGAACTTTGGTATTTTAAACGTTAGTCTTTCTGTTCACACCAGTAAACATTTGGTATTTATACTCAGTGTCATTCTGTATTTACACCAGTATAGAACATTTGGTATTTATACTCAGTGTCATTCTGTATTTACACCAGTATAGAACATTTGGTATTTATACTCAGTGTCATTCTGTATTTACACCAGTATAGAACATTTGGTATTTATACTCAGTGTCATTCTGTATTCACACCAGTATAGAACATTTGGTATTTATACTCAGTGTCATTCTGTATTTACACCAGTATGGAACATTTGGTATTTATACTCAATGTCTTTTCTGTATTTACACAGTATAGAACATTTGGTAAGATACTCAATGTCTTTCTGTATTTACACCAGTACCATTCGGTATTTATACTCAGTGTCTTTCTGTATTTACAA